AAAGCCTGCTTGTTCTTCTCTAAGTTTTTCATCTCCGACTTTATCAATTCCTTTTTAAAAAAAAATAAGAACACTTTACAAGGGACAGAGAGTAGTGTTATCACTTTCCAGTTGTCACATTTACGCAGATGACCATTCTTTGGTAATTTCACAATGAGGCCTTCGCTCCAGTCTGATGATATGTCCCCTTCTTTGCAAGTGACGAAAAAAAGATTGTGAAGTACCTTGGATGATGTATCTAGGTTTGCATTTAACATCTCTGCGTGGATGAAGTCGATGCTTGGTGCCTTGCCTGTTTTCAAAGAATTAATGGCATTTCTTACTTCTTCTGTAGTTGGTGGCTCTGTATTGATGTTTAAATCCACTTCTGCTGGTTCTGGATCAGCTATGACATCAGGCTCAGGGCAGTTCAATACCTCTTTAAAATGTTGTACACATCTTTCTGCTTGTTCACGTTCTGTTCTCAATGTATTGCCATTTTTGTCGTTTACATGGGCTGTCTGGGCACTTGATGTTCCACAAAGTTGCTTGGTGATTTTGTATACAGTACTTAACTCTCCCAGAATGGCTACTTGTTCTGCCTTTTTTGTCAGGTCTTCCAGATATTGCCTTTTATCTTTTCTTGCATTTCTTTTAACATCTTTGTCTTTTGTTCTGTATGTAACTTGCAGTTGATCTTGTAGCCTTTTGGATTTTGTATTTACTATTTTTTGTTTTATAGTTTTTCTTTCTTCAACTTTTTGCCAAGTTTCATGTGTTAGCCAATCTTTGATCATTTTTGTATTGTGACCAACTGTCTTTTCTGCAGTCTTTACATAAATGTCTTTGATGTTATCCCACTTCTCCTGTATACTGCCTTCTCCATCATCAGAGTTGTCTAGTACACTAAACTGATTTTTTAATTCTAAGCAAAATGCTTTTTGACATTTGTTGACTTCAGACTTGCTGTGTCTAGTCTCTTTCTGTTCTGATTTTTAGTGGTGCCTTTCTAAGTTTTAATAAGATGGTGGCTTTCAGTAGATAGTGATCACTATTTACGTCTGCACCAATATGTGGCCGATCTGGTTTACTGTTCTTCCATCCAGTGATTTCCTAGTTAGTTTATGGATGTTTTTATCAGGAAAGATGGTCCCTCCTATCACCAATTTATTGCAAAGACAAAGATCGATAATGCGCTCGCCATTCTCATTTTTCACCCCGCAACCATGCCTGCCCATGACATGCTCAGCATCAGTGTTATCTGGTCCTACTTTTGCATTAAGATCTCCCATTATTACCAGAATGTCGTGTTGAGGTACTTTAGAAATGGCAGTCTGTAGCTGTTCGCCTTTTTTTTACATATAATTATTGATGATACATAGTGTATATATTTAAAAATTCCAACGTCAACGCTTATGGTCAGATTTCATGCTCTCCAGTTTTTTCCCTCTCCAAAATAATTTAATAGCAAAATTGGCAGCTAATACACAAAGTTCATTTTGTCATGTTTTACAAATTTCGTTTACAGGTATTACAGAATCAGATGACATTGAAGGCTTGTCAAATTAGTAGTTTTATTTGAATATGCATTAATTACATAGTACTAAATCAAGTATAAAAGGCAAATTATTTCAAAATATCAGGACGGAAGTATTTAAAAAGATGCGAATATAAATAAATATATATATACTTGATAATATTTGAGACATATGACATATGTACCACACCATTCTTTTCACATAGGCCGCCTTTATACACTGGACGCAACTATATTAAACTGTGTACTAGTTACAGATAGCAATCACAAGAAATATGTCGTACTAGCGTTATACTGGAACATTATATGAAAACAGGTGATGTTCATGTCTTTTTTTCAATTCCTCAACAAATAAGATACATCTGTCATCAAGATTCAGTGCTGTCCAACGTTATCATGGTGACATCATAATCTATGCAATGACACCCACAGCTATGTATTAATTATGGCTATTTTAATAGAAAATATATACATGTATGTATTTTTCTATTCAAATATCCAAGGAAAAAAGTAAAATAAAAAAGGTACTTATATGTTTCTTTGTTATCAATCTTAAACTTATTACTTTTCACAAAATTTGTCGTCTGCTTAAAAGACATATAAATTGTAACATTTGTTACATGGATGTTGGCTTTGAATAATACAAATATTCATGTTCTCAAAAAGTACCAATTCTTTAAAAATACATCACAGAAATACACGAAACAAACAAATTCAATCCAAGAATAACTTAAGTTAAAATAAACACAATGAATATATATGTAAAATAAAACATCTGAATATACATAACACCTCTATGAACACATTTTCTTGATACACTCATACTTGGTTTGGTTTGGTTTAATTTTGTTTAACATCCTATTAACAGCTAAGACTAAGGTCATATAAGAACGTGCCTCCATGTGTGTAGTGTATGCGTGCTTGCGTGTGTGTATGCAGGAGACAGGGTATGTTGGTCACTCATACACACACATCTTGAATAACAGTCTCTATGTTAAAGATAGGTTAGTCAATTGAATAAAAGCCATATCCTAAAATCACCATTTAAGGCAATACAAGTACCAAAAAATCACCATCGAATTACCCTCAAAGTAAGGCTGCAGGCAGTTCCCTCAAATCATCTCTAAAGTCTGTATCCTAACAACACTGCTAAGGCAGTACCCACAAATTACCATGAATGCAGTACCCTCAAATTACTGTTGAAGGCAGTTCCTTCTAACCATTGCTGAAGGCAGAACACCAAATCACCATTGAATGCGGTACCTTCAAATGAACTATCAAAAGAAAATTCTAATCACCAGCGAATGCAGTACCCTCAAAATAACACTGAAAGCTGTAAGATAAGTTCTTCAATACTTTGAGCATTGCAACATCTACATCTCATCAGAAAATAATTGACTCAGTGTTCAGTAAATTAAAAGAGTACTAATGATACTTATATGTACATAGTAATTGACCTGTGTTGTTTAGATAATAAGACCTTTTTGATATGACGGACACTATGTGACCTTATTGTAATATGTTGAACTTACATAGATTTGTTAATAATGACTGTGCTGTAATTGTAGAGTATTGTATAAATAGAAGTCTTGCTGATATGACCTACACTATGTGACCTAATATTGAACCATGTTGTACTTACATGGACTTGTTAATTGGTAGTCTTGTTCAACCAGACTCTTGTTGTCTGCAGCGTCTGGTTGAATGATGGGAGGGATGCTTAGCATATGAGCATGTATGAAGGGAAGTAACTAGGAAGACTAAAATACACTTTCATAACATGCTGTCCTGGCTCTCCTGGCTGTGTGACAGCTTGGTGGGACAGTGTATGAGCATGTATGACGTATGAAAGGAGTAAATTATATATTTATATTTAGGGGATATTACATAATGTTATGTAAAATATGAATAATATGATTGTGCTGTTATTGTAGTGCATTTATTGATTTGTACCACAGAATGTGACATAATTATACTGTGTTATATATAGAGAGACGTGTTGATAATTAGTGTGTTGTAATTGTACAGTGCTATAATATGCTTAATGTATACAGCTGGGATTGGTTTCATCTGCCAGAAAAGTTGCCCTGTAATCAGAATCTCACTCTCTTGACCTATAGGTAATGAATTGATTTGTAACCTCACCAAGTTACATCATAGGATAATGTCATTCCTTTGAAAACTGCCACCCGTAAATCTTTAGCCAATCAGATGCTGCATGGTCCAGCATCCTTATTAAATATCTGCCTATTGAGCTACATTGCAGGTATTGAGGTGAAAACTTATCATTACCACTGTGACAGAGAGCAATTGCAAACCATATCCCAGTTCAAGGACTTTGATAGTCAATCATCAAGTTTGGTTTGTTTGTGCTTAAATCCTTTCAACAGCTTTGGTCATTTAAGAATGTGCCTGGTTTTGGTGGTGGTAGAAATCCGAGTGCTGGCAGTAGCTGGCAACTGCTCCATGTAGGTCTCAAACCCATGACCAAGTGCTGGAGGGCTACTGATCACAGATGTCAGACACCTTAAACACTTATATAGCCAACGTGGCCCAATCAAATCATCAAGAGCTCAGTATTGGGGTAATATACATCAAAAGCTGACAATTTTTTTAACAGATATCTACCAGAAACCAATATCTGAACAACAACAACAACAACATCAAGGATACCTGACTGTCATAAAGTGTAATATCTAGATGCTGCCACAGAACTGCCAACACAAAAATCTATAGCACAAGAATGTCACATTTCATTTGTCATAAAAGTTTTAAGCATTTTTGCCACAAGATCTTTCACTTAGTTATATATACTATTGTAAAATTTGGCAAAATATGTTTTGTAAGTAAACTTTTGTGCAAAAATTGATTAATAAGCAATATAATTTTGACATAAGATTGAACATTACAAGAGGAAAGCGACTAGTAGCCCTTGGGCTGTTCGTAATCCTCTAAACAAATAAAGAATTAAATTAAATTAACATTACAAGAATATATACCTTAATGCATAGTTGATTTTCAAAACGTTATCAATATCTACAAACAAACCCTTCACCAGTGTGTCAATACAGCACAGTGTTAATCAACCTAAACCAGTTTTCCAAATAAAAAAATATTAAACACACTTGCTTTCAAAATTCAAAAACAATTTGATAGAAAAGTATGAATGTTCAGTTCAGAGTAAAATATATATTGGATCTTAAATGAGTTTTCATTTCATATGAGATTTTATGAAACGAGTATTAGGAGTTTTTATTTTTGTGAGCCTTGGTGAGCAAAAATTAAAACTTGGAGACGAATTTCATGAAGCTTATATGAAATGAAAATAAATTTGAGATACTTTTTATCACATAACTCAGAAAACTTACATTTTGACAGGTTTTAAAGCCAAAATGTAGAGGGCTTAATCAAACGGAGACATGCAGCCATTTTGTTGCGATATTCACAATTTATGACGTCACGTCATTGTCCATATTATGACGTCACAATCAATTTCTGACTGGCACAGCCAATGAAAAACACTCCAGGGTATATTACACTAGTGACATATGTAACAATATTACACGGACGAATTCACTGGACAACAGGCCGATTATGTGATAAACTTAGTTATCTGTTTGAAAAAAAATGTTTATACTAAATACAAGTTTGTTAGGTGTGTTTTACTATCTATTTGGTGACAACAATAAACATTATTACATTCTCACTCTTGTCTTCATTACAATTAAGTTTGTGTAGAATAGAAAAAAAAATATAGGTATAAAGACAGTTTCATAAATATAATTCTGGTTTGAACAATGTTAACAAGTGTTTGTAAAAACAAAACTCAAAGACAATAAAAAATTATGCAGATAATATGAGGAGAAAAGCCCTTAATACCTTAAACTGGAGATAAAATAACATTGGAATATATAGTTGCAGTAGAAGTACCATTTTTATGTTTTCTGTTGGTGTGATCAACAATGTAATTTTATGATCAACATTAATTGCCCTTTCTCGTTAAAGTGCCCCCACCTGCATTTCTCTAATATATGATATATTTTAAATTTATATTTGAAAATTTTAACCCCATCCTCATAAAAAACCTGAGAGTAACAAACAAAGATTTTTCAAATGATGAAGCCATCTTAACTATAATACTTAGAACATGTATATATAATCTCAAAACTAGGGCAACGGTTATAACGAAAACTTGCTTGGAATGAAGAAATACATAAAAATGAAATGTACACATATGTACTATGGATTGACTGAACCAGACACGTATATAACACGTCTCTGACTGAACCAAGAAGGAAATTTGATCTGGACAGTCTAAATTTAACCCTTTCACCACAGTAGACCATAATGGACTCAACCTAATAAATGAGTAAAGTTACCTAGGGGTGAAAGGGTTAATGTACTATTGTAACAGAAAATTACAAGTTTTCAAATATGGAATCCAAACTATATATATATATAGATATTCTAATTGACAAAGTTATATGATCAACAGTGATATGTCGATACCCCAGACCTACTATGCTATTCTAGTTTGACTGTTTCATGAATTAATATGTAGTAATGGATACCTTTGGTCGAAGCTCTTCTGATCACAAGGTATGTTAACTATGATAAAACTCTGGTTTAGTTATTATGTGTAAATACCATATTCAATGTAATAAGCACCCAGGGCACTTGTCAATTGCAAAATTGAATAGGCACTTAAAGGAATGATATGTTAGTAAGCCCTATTTTTTCATAAATCAAAGCGTTATAAATGTTTTTCAGTGAAAATTTTACATGCAATATTATTTAGTTGAAATCCAAAGATGATAGTGAAATTTCTCTATTTTCTCTCCTCTAATTTTGTTGTGGCATTAATGATATTTTGTTGATGATATGGATGATGTTGAGTTTGCTTTTAAAACAAATTTCAAAGATATTTATGGCAGCTAGAATGAAGATCCAGTGTTTATAGTAGCATGGACAATGATTAGGTAGAATTTGGTACTGTACATCTTGACAGTTCTAAATGATACCCTGAATGTCATTATCTTTATCATTTAATAATGTCATTTAGTAAGTAAAGCTCTGAAAAAACAACAACATTGCACTATTCCTATACATGATATTAAACTGTCCACTACACAACTCTTTCTCTGGTTAATTATATTTAAATTTCCTGACACCATTTTAAGTCTAATATACATCTTATAAAATGACATCATTTCTATAATAACAAAATCTCTGATAAATCTCCCATCCCTTTTGTTCAATCTCTCTATAAATGGTATCACTACATTAAGATTAAGATATCCAACCACGTGGATGCAATGAAGTGCATCAGAATAATTTTATACTATTTAAGTCTCTTTCAAAATCTGTTACTTTTTACTGTGGCTTCAAGCCTAAGGAAAGGGTTATTCCATCAAAAACATAAAACAGGATATCAGAATACTCAGGGTTCAGATTGGACAGGTTTCTTTAAACATACAATATCATGTAGAGTATGGCAGAGCTCATTTAATTATCACCATATCTAGATGTCTGGTGTGCCATCTATATGTCAAAATGTCTAAGTCTGGTGTTAGGGCCAGAGGAAACTCGGGCTGCACCATATATAAGGCATGCTTTTAAAAAAAAAACAGTTTAGACCAAGACAATGTCTGGATGTAACTGGTCTGTCCCTCACTGAATGGTTTTGCAATAAAAAAAAACACATTGAAAAAATAAAAATAACACTGAGACAGTAACATGACAAGAGAAATTGATTTGTTTTGGCCTTGATCTACTAGTATCTTTTTAACTTTATATGTAGGTTAATCAAAATTAACATCTGTTTTAACAATTAACAAACACAGTTTTTTCAATTATCTTTCACAAGAAGAATCTGAAAATTGAAATGCTAAAATTTGCTTTCCTAACAAATTTAGCAACTTTTGCACCATAACTTTGTAATGTTATAACGATACAAAAATAATATTAAAGGGGCCTTTGTGAGAAAAACTTTTTATTTTTGGCTTCATGTATAGCTGCTAAATGATGCTGCCTGGAGTTATTGATTCATTCACAAATGACGGACAGCAGGATGTTGTAAAACATTGATTATTGTGGAATTAATGAGCGACGTCCTGTGATGTACCTAACAGCCAACAGTATGATTACGTAGGTCTCAAGTGATTGCTTGATCATAGTTACAACTTTAAGTATCAGGCAGGAGAAAGACTGTAAAATTATTGTATACCGGGTACATCATTTGGAAATGCATTCAAGATGTTGGCATATTTTCATATTTACAAACATTGTAAGATCTCTGACAACAACATACATCTACGAGGGGTTTCGGTGGTGACGCAGTGGATAGCACACTTGCCTTTTAACAAGATGACTCAGCTTTGACTCCACAGTTGGGTGTGGAAAGGTATTGGCTTACCTAGTGAGCCTTTTCCGGATTTCCTGTCACACTCCCTGTGCGCTTCCATTAGGAGTGATGAATATATGTTGAAAATAACTTGTTTCATAATTCATGTAAAACTTAAGTCTAACAATATGGACTTCAGCAACAAACTGAATTAACTTTAAAATGAAGCAAACTTTACTAAATCACAGGCTCTCCTTCCATTGTTCTATTCACAATGGCCAAAAACAACACCAATTTCTAAGTAAATCTACAATTTGCTATCAGGTCCATCAAGGGATCACCCATGTACTCAATGTATGATCAAATGGCTATGAAACCATTATAAAGACCCAACTGTCCAATTGTTAAAAATCAAGGGTGCTTTGTTGATCACTCAAGGTAGCGATTTGAGGTTTTGAAATGGTAATGGAATCCTTTAATGAGAATACCTATATAAGTCCTGTGGTAGCACCCTTTTATAGAAACCCATTCCAAAAAAAATCATGTTTAAGTTTAAGTCTGTTTAATTTTAGCGACATTTATAAAAAAATCTGTGTCTATTTAAACTAACCAGCAGAAAACAACATTAAGCATGCAAGAACTTTTGAAAATATGAAAATTCCTTTGATGAAAATTGGAGTAAAAATGTTGTTTAACCAATGACGCATGAAACATTTAATATGACTCCTTTTACTTGATCATGCCCATGTCTGCTATTCCAAGACGTTTCTGTAGCGTTGCTGCCGACTTTTTGAAATCCTTCTCCATGTCCTCCATGACTTTCATGTCGGTTACAAACTTGGCGACACTCTTCGGTTTGTTGGTGGCTGAGCCAACACGTACCCTAAGATGCTCGCCTATGTGGTCCTCAGGAGGCTCCTCATCCGACGAGTCACTACTGTACCTGTCCTGCTGTAAACCTGGACTAGACGGTGCATCCTCACGATACACATCATCCACACCTTGATTAAAGTCTGTCTCTGAATTCACATCAAAATTATCGGGATTGTCTGGAGCAGGTGTCGCCACTGGAGCACTAGGTGGAGAGTCATGTGACTGCTGGTAGCTGGAGAGAGATTCTGTATCCTGTTCCGGAGTTTCATCCCCTCCTTGTTCCTGTATGATGTTCATTTTAGGTACACTGGCTGATTTAAGTCGCTGTTTCTGTGCTGGTTTCTTCTTTGTAGAGGGTTTGTTGCTGACAGGATGTGTCACTTCATACTTCAATGGTCGATCATGCAACTGGGTAACGAACACTAGCAAGACAAAAATAAAGTAGAAGTCAATGAACACATGCAAATAGCTAAATTGATGGTCAAAAACTGTTTTTAATAAGTATGAAGAGTTCTTATCTATTGTTGCTTAATCTGAAGTCACTTCCAAACATAGTGTCCCCTATAGCAGCTGCTACTCTTATTGCAAGGACTGAGACACAACATCTACAGTATTTTGTACTGTCTGAGGGACTAATAACCGAGACACAATATCTACATGTTTGTGTACTGTCACCAGTAATAGGTCAAGAAGAGCTATAGGTTGGGCAGGGGATAGGCAGATCTTAGGATTCCACTCTTACAAGGAATCAAATCTGGCTGTCTATACCTGTGAGACTAGTGACTTACTGATAACCACTCGACCATCCGGTCACAATATTTAAAGTGCTAACTATATATACACATAGAACAATTTATGTTAAATATATCCTTCATTGAACACATGAGGTTTCTGGTATAATATGAAACTACCTACTGCTTTGAAGCAATTCATTATAAATATGATAGGTAAATCATTTGATAACAAGAATCTCAAACTGATTTCCTCTCCATCTCACTTGTAGGGAAATGTACACTAAATTCAAACTGAGGGAGTCTCCCTCCTATTGAGGGGTGATTGACAGCTACATGTATGCATAACATCTCAGGTAAAGGAACTTCATTTAAAAGTACCCAATATCGTTACGTAATTTAAGTACATACCACTTGCACTTTTAGGCCTTGGTTTCTGGTTATTAACTTTGTCTTTGTTGGTCGTCGCAGTGAATGCACTGGCGGGTCGAGGTTTCTTAACACCGACGTCTGGACCAAACACAGCATCCAAATTAAATAGATTTGTCTGAAAATCAATCAATAAAGTTAGGGGAAAAAACAAAAACTGCATCTAGGTCAAATAGATTTGTTTAGTACTTAAATATGTTGAAATTTTGACGCATGGATAACAGATATCAATCCCCTTTCAAGATTACTTAATAAAATTTCAAAAACATGTATTTCAATTGCAAGGTATAAAGCTACATGGATCTAGATTTGGTTTTGTTGAAAAAGAAAATTGTTCATACGTAAATCAGGCAGTTTCACAACTGGCAATTGTGTGGAGAGCATATCCTTAGCTATAGGCCACCAAATTGATTTGTTTTTAATCTTCATCTGATGCGATTTGATGTGCAGAATAATTATACACTAAACTGAATAAGTACAATGTTGGAGTGGATAGTTTACCTGTTTATATCGTTGAGGATCGTCATATGGTGCTCTGTATTTGTTTCTATTATCACGACCGTTTTCCATTTGATACAATCCAGAAAAAGCCTGAAAAAGAAATCAGCAACTTTTATGCCCAATTAAATTAAAATGAATGGATTGTGACACAGTCAGATTACTGGGATACTTTGAATGGAAATCTTTCCCCCAAACCATATAAGTGATGGCAGGAATAAAAAGATTGCAATATGTGCTACTAAACACATTTATTTTACTGTGATTTGTGTTAGATATATATATATATATATATATATATATAAAATTTTAATTAGCATAATTATCTTATAATTTTGAATGCATCATTGCATTCATATCTAAATGTATATTTCAAATTTATCATCATGAATTCATCGTGTCCAAATTACTATTCTTCCTTTTTTTCTAATAATTTATCACTGCTTTAGAGAAAATATTGTCACCATAAGGATCAGCATGTAGCTATTTTTAGTGTACATCTTAATTTGACCGTCCAAGTTGTTCAAAATGCTATACTCTTATCAATCTACTGGAATTTTGATTTAGTAAAAAAATATTTTTCAAAAATAAAATGGTACCAGAAAACATACTGAATTTTTGTTCCTGTCTCCAGTTGGCTGTACAAAAAGATCATTCAAAGTCACGTCAGGGTTGTTCTCTTTCACGTTTGGTCGCTGCTGTTTCTGGGCAGATCTGATCCTCCCTCTTGTACTGGTACCACTTGTGGGACGGCTTTGGGGCTGGTTTGTCTGAGAGAAAAAAACCCACCATCAACTAACTATGAAAACTAATCACATATATATCCAGTGTGATTTTCCTATAGTTTTGAGTTTAATAAACAGTAATGGTGGCACTTGCACCAAAAACATTTTGATTTAATCCCTGAGGATATCATTGAAAAAAAGGCATATATTGACTTTCAGAGAAAAAATCCTTCCAAACTCTCAGATCTATAGGAACTATGCTGAAGCTTGTAGATGAAATTAAAAATCATGAAATTCAACATTATTCATATGAATCGAAATCAATAAAAATTATCACAAGTTACAGGCATTCCCTATAACAAATCCCTCTTTTTAGTGAAGAAAGTGAAAGGTTCTTTTTTTTAACTCACCCCTACAGTTTTGAGGAATTGTTTGTCGACCTCCTCGTATGTCTTATGTCTGTTGCGGAGTGGAACGGTAGTTTTAGCCATGTCATGTTCATGGTTGTGCATCACTTCATCCATGTAAAGCTGTCTGTTTTGCATGTAAACCTGTTGACGAGCATAGATTTCCTCCTGAATCTGGGCGTACTCCCTATCCAAAAGCTTGATAGCGAGTCTCTCCCAAGCCCTCACAACCTTCTCCTGGTAAACACAATAAAGAAACAATAGGTTATTATATACATGAATATTTTTTATTATATTACTTAAATAACTTTAAACAGTGTAAAGCTGTAATTGGTTTTAGAGTTACCTACTACAAAAAAATAATCAGCATACATGTACTGTTATTATATTCCAGTAATAAACCTTCGAAGTGTCTTATATTGGACTTGTCCCATCCTCGTTATCCAGGGGTTACGCTCACCTAAGCTCTCTAGAGTCTAGTGTAGAGACTAGAGATCATTGGTGAGCGTAACCCCCGGATATCGAGGATGGACTTGTCCATACGCAATTTTGATTATTGGCAAAAGTGAATACCTTGTAAAAAAAGTATTTTTATTATGATTGTCATGGTCACAGGGGAGAGGTAGAGACTAAATCCCACCCCCATATGCTCATCTAATGACACTATATGAGCATATAGGGAGTAGCAGTTAGTCTGTGCCTTGCCCTTGTAGTCATGGTAAACAATATGAGGCCTATTTGTCATGATACTGAATTCAAATATTGCACATTCGTTCCTTTTGGTGAAAATTTCAGAAAATCACAATTTAGTTTTTACACAAAAGTTTAATTTGTTTATTAAACATCTTGAACTAAGAATGTTTGTGACAGTAGGTTAGCATGTACAAGTGTATTCTGGAGTTATCACTATTGGTAAATTATTCACCAAAGTAATCTTCCATTGTCAGAAAAAAAACACCTGCTGCTTGGGCCATGCATGCTTCAGGTCTCTCATCCTGACCTGGTCACATGGATTGTTTTGAAAAGTCAAACTATTTGCAGCTATTACGTGGGGTGAAGCACAAACAGTTCTCGATGTATACCTTTATCTCTGGAATAGGTGTGTTGGTTGTGCGTTTCCCATCCTGATATGGTTGCATGAACTCAGGAGGCTGTAGACCTGTGGACCAAAGCAAAATATGTGAAATGTGAAAAGCCAAACAATTGTGCAAGTATTTGAAGTGGGCTAGCTACATTGTATACTAGTGAATTATATATACATGGAAAAGTATGTAATCAAAAGGGCTGAATGTGAGAATCATGCTGCTTGCATACCTAAATGGAAGTTAATGCATTTTCCCCCCATTTGGATGGTGATGTTTCTAAAAGCAATGTAAATGATCTTTTTTTCCATAGATTGATTTTATTACATTTATTTTTAAACTCCCTTGCTTTGTTCTCATATACTGAGCGATATGCTTTGATAAATCTGATAAACAATTGTAGAGTTACACAAGTTAGCATTATTGCACGACCAGTGACCAAAGTATATGTCTTGAAGGACAAGAATTATACTTCATTTCAAAGTATAATTTAAGTTTAATATAGACAGACTTATTTCTCAAAACAGACTTTGTCATAATGTCCCTATGTAATAATATGATTTTTTTCAACATCTGCATAAACCTATTAAATCAAATGTTCACTCAATACAAAAATGGATATACTATTATGTATCAATTTTTCTTGACAATGTAAGAATTGTGTTTCCAAAATGACTATAAGGTGACACAATGAAACCTTTCATTCAATCAGGAATCTATGAACAAATTAATTCGCTTACCAATAATATTTCCCAGGTGTAAAGAAGCATTAAAGTCTCCACTCCAAGACCTAGAAAAACAAAAGGTTTTTGTTTTTTCATTTCCAAACCATTTCAATATTTCTCTAAATACAAAATGTAACTTCAACATTAATTTATTTATTTAAAAATATGATCCTTTATATGTCTGACAAAAGATTGAAAATAAATTAACATCAAGATTTTGAATTTTGATACCAATATGCATTTGAACAATTCAGTGACCTTTTTATCATTTAGTTTACACATATATATATCTAGATTACTCATGGTGTTGATTTAGACTTATAAATGTTACAAAAATCAATTTGTAAACTCTGGGCAGCAATAGAATGGTTTTCTTTGCACCTACAAGTACATATAATGTGCCTATAGCCGTTAAAATCATAACCATGCATTCAACAGGTTTGGCCATTAGACATGATAATTAATAATCTTATCCTTTCATTACATAAATCTATCAATTCAAAGACATCATTGAACCAAACAATTTAGCAGTTTGTACAAATTGAAGTGTCTATTAAGTGCAAAGTAAAACAAATATATTTATGGAAGACTTCACTAAAATGATTATATGATAAAGTAAAAATATTCAATGACAGTTTCATGACATTATTCACCTCTTCACAAGAGTTATAAGGACATTCATTTGTCCTGCTAAATTCTGTTTCTCTGCATGGCTTTGAGCAAGGTCCTGCTTCAGTTTGGTGATAGTGTCGAGCAGTGCGTTCATATTCTGGGGATGGCCAACATGGCCGTACAGAGCTCGGTCCCCTTGTCCTCCAGCAGGCATTTTAAGAATTCTTTACAATACCAGATGTAACTTATCTGAAAACAAGGGGCAGATAACAAACAATTATCTTACGGCAATCATTATTATTATTCCTTCTGTAATCTTCAACAATAGTAACGATCATTATCACTATTCTGGCACAGTGAAAGTACTAGTGTACCATAAACCTATAAAGCCAGAATATTCAGGTCTGCTTTTACATCAACTATGCTAAAATGTGATATCATTCGATTGTAACTTTCGTAGTGATGCTTTTTATTATTATGACAATATCACAGATTACAAGGGTAGAAAGTTTTTGTACACATCTTCTCACTTAAGCATATACTTTTCATTTGAAAAAAAAATATCCAATTATTTAAGAATAGTTAGAATACCAAAAATAATACAATTTTTCTATTTGTCAACTAATAACTTTTTGTGTACGCCAAAATAATTGCCATTGTTAGACATATGGCTCAATGTTAAGGGGACCACATTATGCATTATCAACCTTGGGCCTTGGCCCCTGACCAATGTTGTGATAAAGTAGCTGTGAATATAACTCTCACTGCTAGTATAAGATGGCAACAATTAGCAACAAAGACCAGAATATAAACTCAGGAATATCAAGACACTCTTATAAATGATCAACCTGGTCATTGATGACCTTTTTTCTTTGTTGACATACTCAAGTTCAGGGTTAAGAGATAGACAGGAATATCCAGACATCTTATCTGTCAAAAATGTCTGAGTCTATTGTCTGGGCCAGAGGAAACTCCGGCTACATTGTAGGTTTGAGTTGGATTTCAATTAGGCCTAAAGAATAAGTTTTGAAGCAAATTAGATTGAACATGACTGTTGTCAGATCTCTTAAATTTATAACAATAAACTCTTTTAAATGGAAATAATCGATCTCATCTAGTCCATGTTCGAAACTAGATAGGCCTTTGACTAAATTTTAGTAAGCTTAGTACCTACAGCAGCATGTTTTGATGGTATATATACAAAAAGCGTTGGATTTATTTATGACATGATATTGTCCACGTTTTCTTTAAGAGTACTTAAATAAAATATGACATTCTTATTCATACTGACAAACAGTTTCCTTACCAACAAAATTATGGAACCTTTGATTTTATCTGAGCGCCATGTTGTTTACACAAATAACCATGCATTCGGACTTTTCTAATTGTATCATATGAAGTAATGAAAAGTCTCAACATACCTAGAATGTAGTAGCATTTTTTTCCTGGTCACCAGAATGTTTGTAAATCACCTATTTTTACTCGAGAACGTTTAAGCTTTATAAAGTGCTGATGCAGGAAGAGAGAAGCCGACTCGGAAAGATGGCGTACTATCAGCAACAACAGGGATATGGACAACCTCAGGCCCCTCCGCCCGGTGGCGTAGATCAAGGCTTTCTATGGAATGTATTCCAAAAGTAAGAAGATGAGTAGTTTGATATTTAAATAGTAAAAAGTTGACGAAATTAAAGTGTTGATTTAGAAACACTCGGTTACATACTCGTCCATACTCTGTCACGGTTCAATTCCGGTATGTTCGGAAATAATAATATGACTCAGGCATGGCCTGGAGAGAGCGCAGCTGGTACATTTGTTTCGATAGTATACTATATTTTTTTAATCATAAGAGCGCAGCTCTTCTGGCGCCGAGCTCTTTTCCGGTAACATGTGTACGAACAATTGAAGTCATGGTAACGTCGAAATACTATGCTTCCAAAATCCTTCGTCAGGGAAGTAGCTAGCGCGGTCCTATTTTTACGATGCTGTTTAGCTTTGCTACACATTCTCAAAAATACATCTTTATATGATATTTTTTTTTCTGTAGTTATGTAAATTCATGCCATTAAAAATTATAGAAACTGAAGCTTCTTTCAAATTTTCAGTCTTTTCGTCTCTCCACCCAAACCGAAAGTATATAGTAACTACCAAACCAGACGGAAATCCGGATATGTTTGGGCTATTGTGATTCTCTTTTTACACGATTTAGAGGGATCAGGCAAAGTATATCATGTCGGAAAATACAGTTGGAGTTTAATCGCCAATATTCTTAACTTTTATAATAACAGATAATAACAGTTTCATTTGATAAACAATACATCTTCAAATATGAAGTCCCTCTACTGGGCCTCAATCTTTCTGCAACATTAAATGGTTTATCATGGTGAGAAATTAAAGTGACGTTTCTTTTATACCTTCATATCATATATGCTTTTAATCAAATTTCGTTCAGTAAATCAGCAAAAAATTGTTTCTGCAAAAATTAGGGTACTGACAGGTGGATATAGGTAGACAAAATATTTCTACAAAAGTTTGGCAGAGATTGCATTTCAGACTTAAACAGTGCATGCATGTCTTAAATAAGCACAACAAAATAATACTAAAAATACATTATGGTTGGTTGGAAATGTAGAAACCTTTCTTTGTCTTTTTATTTGTTATATAAAATCAACAATGTTTCATTAATGATCATGCAATATTTTGTAGTCCATGTCAGTTCCGCTACATTTCTCCCTCCGAGACACATAAGACCCTATATACATGTACCTCCTTCCATTGATATATCATTGGGTATATATACGTATACCAACCTGTAACAAGAAGAGCACAGTTAGACTGGACCTCAAAACTCTAAATGAATGCTCAATATCCAATTGAGCTACATGTACCTGGTCACTGGTGACCCATTGACCCTGTGGAGTGCACATTTTAACTTTCAATCACACTTTCATGTTCATTTCATGTAAAAAGTAAAAACCACAATAGTTTGGTCAATATTAACAGTTTGGGCATTTATTTAGTTACTATGTGGAATGTTTTAAAAAAAATCTGGTGAGCCCTGAGTATATTTTTTTCAAAATTTTGATGAGTCTCATTACTTAGAGACCCATATATAGACAGCATAAGTCAAGGACTCAAATGTCTTAGTCCCAAAAATCACTGTAGTGTGGTATGCAAATTAATCAAAAGTATCAAAGAATTCAATATAAAATAAAGATTGGACAAATGGTTTGCAAATCAAATGGACATTTGACTATTTGTGTAACTACTAAACATGTTTTATGGGACAGGAAGTATATTTGAAACACAATATGAAAGAGGAAATATTGAATCATGTAGCTAAATAGAAGTTATGGAAACAGAAGTAGTCTATTGTTCACCAAAACAGAAAATGAAAAAGGAAACCATAGCACAATTGTAAGCTTTTGAGAAAAAAACTAATTTTTAGGTATCAATTTTATAGTAAAAACTTGGTTTTGGTTTTTTAAGTCATTTCCTGTTTGAATTGTATAGCCAGAAATTTTGACAAGTTCATTGTAAACTTGTACCTTTCTAGAGTTGATAAAGACAGAAGTGGTCAGATTAGTACCAAAGAGCTTGGGGATGCATTGTCCAATGGTAAGTTAGGTCACCGCCACAAAGCGCCTGGAGCATGACGTTAGACCCTAACACAAACTTGTCTTTCCTTGTCTGCCTGTAGCTATGCAGTTATATATCATATGCATGCTTTAATTTATTGTTGTAGTTTCTGTGTTATAGAATTCCTTACACAATTATTTTTTCAATTCTCTTGGTCTCTTTTGTGAAAATCACAAATCAATGTGACGAAAATGTCCTACTGAAGGAAATGTGAAAACAATCAATTTCTAGAATTAGAGAACTACAATTTGGTTTTGCAAATATTTTTGTTAAAGAAATTAAAACTGTTCTTGTTCCCTGTTGGAATAATGTTCCTCTGTTGATCATGGTCAGTGTATGTTACTACCTTAAGCTTATATGGCACATTGCACTTATATGTCTTAAATTTGTTTAATTTATATTAAAATATGTAAAAATAGATGAATTAAATACAGGTTATAGACTACCATCCTATTAGTTAGAGATTGGTTAGAAAATGGCTGAAGTTTGAAATTAATTAATTGTCTCTGCTAATCATTTTCAAACTTCATTCATCATTCACAATAACATTTAAAAAATAAATAAAAATAATATGAGAGTGGTTCAGAGAATTACCCTAACAGCAAGATAAAGATTCGTGTAGAGAGATCATCCTTTGGTATATGTATATGCACATCTTCAGCTTGGTCAAGGGATGTGTTGTGTACCAAAATCAGGTCCCTGAATTGAACCTCTTTTCTGTATTTTTTCAATTAAAAACTTGGACTGTTCATAAAAAAAGAACCTACCAGTATGTATTGAATATTTCATGAACTCCTTATAGGTTTTGTATATGTATCAAATTTTCTTCATCTTATGGTAGCAGCAGGTGCCACACCTTATTAAATGAAATGGCAAAGGTCATTGATCAAGGTAAAAGGAGTCATATGTTATACTTGAACGCTTTTGAAATGAATAGCTTGGACACAACAGATTAAGTTTATATTTAAACATACATGCTAACATAAAGTTCTACACCTGATAATGTATTGTGATCATTGGTCAAAATAAAAAAGGTTAAAGGTCCCATTTGACCCATTTGAAGTGAAAGCTTGTATGGTAACTTCAAGTTTTTCACCTGGTTAAATTTTGTTCGTCACCCATAATGGTAAATGTGTCATTGGTAACAATTCACACCCTATCTGGAGGGATTGGGGATGCACAGCTACTGGTATGTGAAGACCCAGATCACATTGTTTTTATTGTATAATTTCTTAATACATAAGTACTTTTTGGCATGTCATATATACCCCGGTATTCAGGCCTAGGGAAAATATTGAAATTGGTGACAGTGTTTATAACAAATATCTATCTTGCCTCTGGTTCACAAATGTTTCTAAACCTGATGAAATTCCCTATAGCTTGTTAAACACAAGTTTTACCATGAGAAGAGCACATTTTTTAAGGATTGCATGTGAAACTAAGACCTGGCTATTTGATTTTTTTGTACACATATCCTATATACAACCAGTGTTTAAGTGGTGACTTTGTTCAGGGATTTATGACTTTTTGTATGAAACAGCATGTTATAATGCAGCCATGCATCATTGGTGTTGTGCAGGCATGCAGAAATGTTGAGTAAGATGTGTAGTTATGACTAATAGTGATCAGTTATTAGTTTGTTCATTTGTAATTTAAGAGTTTGAATTAAATTAAATATTGATTTATGTAATTACTTGATAATAATATAGTTCTGCATAATAATATTGCTCTGAATTAAGTAGCTAAATTTAAACTCAGCTTGAATTGATCTCACCTTTTTGAGGAATTGAAAAGTTGACATCATGCATACATACAGCTTACATTTAAAACAAATGATCTAAGTCATGCATTAACCAACGGAAAATATCAATATTCAATATGTGTCATAATACATAAAGAAGGCATTGTTTTCATTATCTTAGATTTTTGATGAAATTATGTATGAAGGGTGTGTAATTGAACTGATTGAAGTTGGATATCTTGTCAATGAAAGACCAAACAAAATTACGAACAAATTAATTTTCAAATCTTTATCTAATGGCTGTGAGAAAATAGGGTAGTTATCTATAATTAGCTTGGTAGGTAAATTTATTTATTTTTCATGATATTTTTTGGGTAATACATGTATATGATATGGAGCAAATAAAATGATTGCCAACTTAAACAGTGCTTGTTTAAGGTTGATCGGAAAAACAATAACATTTATAATAAGGTGGATTTGTAGAAAGGTTCCTGTATGTACATGTAACACAATGCAACCAGCAGAATGTTTGTGTGTGAGGTTTTGATGATGTCCATATGTCCCACGTAAATATTTGTTGGTTGTGCTTGTGCTACAGAAACTTGTATAAAATCCATGCGTAGCAACAACGTAGAGAAAATGTTAAGAAATATCTATAATGGTACTTTAGCTACCTACTATTATTGAAAACAGGTGTTATTTTCACTAGGCTATTTTGCCTAGATAATAATATCAGAATATTATACTACATACTTTAAGTAAATAGTTATGTACCTGTTATTTTTTATTATAAATCTACATCTAAACAAACATCAAGACTAAAAGAAATAAGTAAAAAGTGAACTTATCCATATAGTCTACTCTGAAACATGTTCCTACATGTTCATATCAATACATGTACATACTAAATATGGGTTTAACCAAGACAGGGATTGAAATCAGTCAGAATATCAGGTGAATTAGCATGATGGATTAAATAAGGAAATTGACTATTAATGTGGTAGGTATAAGCATGATTTTGTGATCATGAGCCTAATTTTTTAACCAGTTTGTCAAGATTTTAAAAACTAATTTTAATGCAAGGTTGATCTTCTATTTCCCTAAATTTAGTTTAACATTCTGTTTCTCAGGATTGATACTGACAGGAGTGGTGCTATCTCAGCTGCTGAGCTTGGACAAGCTCTGTCCAATGGTAAGCCAGACTAGGACTGAACCATATACATTGTACCAGGCTAGTGTTTTGTTAGGGAGCTATGGTCTCATAGAATCGTACGTAAGAGTTGAAGGCATATTGCATGCCAAGTCGGGACTGCATTATGCATTTAACTGTTGCCACTGTTGTGACAATAAAACATATTATAAAAGTATCTGTCACATAAAATACAACATAATTTTCATAATTATTCTCACTTTTCTTAAATAATTCATCTATTGAATAATCGTTAACAATCTGATGTGAAAGGCCACTATAGGGTTTAATTATTTCATACGAAACATTTCTTCATTCATATGATCATTATGGAATGGTCGCAAATGTGACATATCAATAAATGATTTATTAATTAAAAGCCAGGGTTTATTCCAATGGCAATGATTGATATTTAGAATTAAAGAACTACATGTTTGCAATTTGTTACACACATAACATAAAAAACATATGATCTAAAGGGTCTCATTTGAATTAGAGAAAATAGTACAGAGTTAAAATAGATGTAAAGTATATTTTCATAAATAATCAGCAATATAATACAGTACTTGTGTTGATTGTGGTGCCATCTGTGTTAATAAACATATCAGTAGATGTTTTGAGTGTGGTATGTAGTATTAGTGGTTATTAGCTCACCTGGTCCGAAGGACCAAGGTGAGCTTATGCCATACCGTGGCGTCCGTCGTCCATCCGTCCGTACGTCAACAATTTCTTTAAACGACTTCTTCTTAACCACCGGTTGGAATTAAACTAAATTTGACTGGAAGCATCCCTAGGTGATGGGGATTCAAAATTGTACAAATGGTGGGGCTGACCCCCCAGAGGGCTGAGGGGTGGGGCCAAAAGGGGTCAATTTGCCCATATTGCTTTAAGCGACTTCTTCTCTGGAACTAAGAAGTGGATATCAATCATATTTGACTGGAAGCATCCCTAGGTGGTGGTGCAAATGGTGGGGCTGACTCTTCAGGGGGCTTAGGGGCGGGGCAAAAAGGGGGCAATTTGGCTGTATTGCTACAAACAACTTCTTCTGTAAAACTGTGCACTGGATATCAATCATATTTGATCAAAAGCATTCCTGGGAGGCAGGGATTTAAAATTGTACAAATGGTGTGGCTGACCCCCCAGGGGGCTGAGGGGCAGGGCCAAAAAGGGTATTTGGCTATACTGCTTTAAGTGACTTCTTCTCTGGAACTAAGTGATGGATATCAACCTTATTTGACTGGAAGCATCTCTAGGTGGTGGAGATTCAAAATTGTACAAACGGTTGGGCTGACCCCCCAGGGGGCTGAGGGGCGGGGCCAAAAGGGGGCAATTTGGTTATATTGCTATAAATGACTTCTTCTGCAGAACTATGCCATGGATATTGATCATATTTGGTCGGAAGTATTCATGGGAGGCAGGGATTCAAAATTGTACAAATGGTGGGGCTGACCCCCCGGGCTAAGGGGTGGGGCCAATAAAATGTATTACTTGGAAATGGTTGAGATCCCCACCATATAACCATATATACAATTGCTGAGTATAAAGAGAAGAATGCACATTTGCTTCCAGGATGTCCCTAGGGTCTGGCCCCACCCTTGGAGACATAGTCCCTGGGCCATAACTTTAAAACGGTTGAGATCCCCACCCCAAAACTATATATACAAATGCTGGGCATAAAGAGACGAATGCAATCATGATATCAGAATAGACCCTGGGGTCTGACCGAACCCCTAGGGACCTAGTTTCTTAGTCACAGCTTGGAAACAGTTGAGAGCCCCACCCTATAACCGTATATATACAATTGCTGAGTATAAAGAGATGATTGCACATATGCTTCCAGGTTGGCCTTGGGGACTGCCCCACCCTTGGAGACTTAACCCCTGGGTCATAACTTTGAAATGGTTAATATCCCCACCCCAAAACTATATATACAATTGTTGGGCATAAAGAGACGAATGCAGTCATGATATTAGAATTGATCCCAGGGTCTGCCCCACCCTTGCAGACTTGGCCCCTGGGTCATACCTTTGAAACGGTTGAGATCCCCACCCCAAAACTATATATACAAATGCTTGGCAAAAAGAGACAAATGCAGTCAAGATATTAGAATCGATCCTGGGGTCTGGACACAACTCTAGGGACCTAAATTCTGAGTCAAAGCTTGGAAACAGTTGAGATCCCCACCCCATAACCATACATAAAATTGCTGGGCATGAAAAATCTAATATAGCTATGCTACAAGGATTGGCCTTGGGGTCTGGCATATTCCCTTGATCTCATTTGGAGAATAGTTTGCCATGATTGCTTAGGTATCCAGGTGAGCGATACAGGCGCTCTGGGCCTCTTGTATTTTCTTATGTGCTTCAAATTCCTGATACAAAGAACCATTAAAATGAAGAAAAAAAATCCCTTTCAATTTAATTTGAATAATTTAAATTTTTCTTTTAAAAAAAGTCATTATTATAAAGAAAGGAAAGATGACACGTTGAATGGTTGTTTAACCCACTTCATAAATCTTGCATTTATAACATAGATGTGTGATTTTAACAAATCCTAATGAATATATAACTACACACCCATTTGTTTGCTGCATGTTGCATACATCACTACTCATTTATCACTTGTAACTTTAAAATAATGATGTGTTCACATGCAAAATGAAAAATATCCACTATTTTACTATTGAATATTTGTGTATTACACTTGCATGTATTTAAAAAAACAACTGTAAATTGTGTTGTTTATTCATTGAAATACTTGAACAGAAACCCAAAGGGAACAAGAACTCAATATAACATATCTCTTTTTAAAATAACCAGCTGTATTGGTCATGAAAAGTATGCGAAGTTCACTTTAAGATGTTTCAACAGAGATTGCACAGCCATAACTCTGGGTTCTTCTTTATCTTTTTGGTGAAGGTATTTCAATTTTCTTCTGTGCTCTATTATATATAATCTAATTAAAACTTTGCTAACATATGTATATCTATTGTTTCTGTCTATACTGCATGTTGTACAGAGTTTTTCTCTGCATTTATATATTTGGGGCAAGATATATATATATCAGTCCCATTTTCATGCTACTGTATAAGATTAAGAAAAACATTGTCCTGTTAGCGTCCTCCAGGGCCCGTATTCATGAAACATGTGCTCAAACCAACTTTCTTGTAACTCATTTAAATCATGTCAAACTATCAAAAAGTAAAATCTTAACATTTAAAACAGTATTTGACTTTTAAGTCTTTTCCAATTTTTCCAAATCATTGACAACTAAGAATTTATATTTGATTAATAATTGGTACAAGAAATAAAGATTGAGCACAAAATCGAAGCTTGAACATAAGAAAGGTTTCATGAATACGGGCCCTGTTTATAATCTGTGGTCTTATAATTAGTATACATGTAGGATCCTGGACTTCAGAAAATCCTGCATTCCTTTAGATGCTTTGATAATCAACATTTTCAACTCGGGGAAGGTGGCAATTTGATATCCCTGGAAAAAATCCTTTTTTGTACTGCACTTGTATAAATATTATATCCACTGCTAGTAAATAATGTACTTCAGATGTCCACAGTTCATGGTATACATCAGGATAATAAAAGAATTTGTTTTCCCTTCATATCATATGTTTGACTCTTTGTGTTGGACTAATCATGATCATGTTTAATTAATTGCTTTTCCTTTATATTATAAGTGGAAGTTTGCTTTTCTTAATCAATGATTATTTTTGAACTTTTGAATAGATTTTATTCTATCACTAATCACTGTGTTTTATGTAGTGACATCTAGGTTTAACACATGGATACATATTTATGTCATATTCTAGCCACTGCTAGTAACTGTTTATAACTGTTTATACATGTATGTATCTGCACTTGTATGTATAAAAAGTTAATACACTCAGTGCTAGGAATAGTTGATACATGTATGTATCTGCACTTTTATGTACAAGTATGTACATGTACAATAACTATACTTGCGAGTATTAAAGACACTGTTGTTTTATCCATTAACCAATTCACCCCTGAAGACACATTTGAACTCGCCCAATTCAAAGATTGAAATAGTTCATTATAAAATTTCAGGGGTGAATGAGTTAATTATGTGATATCCTCACTTCAAAGTGCAACATATAATGTACATATGCTGTCAACATGTACCAGCTCAAAATTATGTACCGTTACTATCATAGAGCTAATTAAACATACAGGTAAAAATAATGTACTTCAGATGTCCACAGTTCATGGTATACATCAGGATAATAAAAGAATTTGTTTTCCCTTCATATCATATGTTTGACTCTTTGTGTTGGACTAATCATGATCATGTTTAATTAATTGCTTTTCCTTTATATTATAAGTGGAAGTTTGCTTTTCTTAATCAATGATTATTTTTGAACTTTTGAATAGATTTTATTCTATCACTAATCACTGTGTTTTATGTAGTGACATCTAGGTTTAACACATGGATACATATTTATGCCAAAATATTTTACAGATACGTAGTAGCCCCACCCCCTTTTTCAAGGTTAAAGGCTATAGTACTAGTACATTGTACATTCATAACCAATACATGTACTGTGATTTGAACTATATCGGCTATATAAAAAGATTTTCATACTAAGAAATTTTATGAATGGAAATTTGAACAAATTTGATTAGTTTACAAATGTACAATCTGGATATATAATCTGGATCATAATTACGATTAGAATATAATAATTAAAAAAGCCAAGGGAGATAACCATATAGATCATAGATGTAACCACAAAGTGCCCAAAAATGAACAACACCTGTATCAGATTTTACATTTGTCAGATCATATCTCAAAGATTTATTGGACTTTCTTTAAAGAAAATGACTCTTACGACGTACATGCATTATTAAAATAATTTATCTAACGAGACTTGGAAGAATAGATTTTTGTTTGTTTGCTTATATATGTAATAATGAATAGATTCATTAAATTATTTAATAGGTTTATTACTTTCCAGATGAATTTTCTCGAAAGACCCCACTTGTACATGATGTTACTTATAAGACTAGCTCGGGCACTTTTCTTTTTCAAAACAGGGGAATTCACCTGTCTGTGTTAATCTCATTATGTTGTCCAAAAACCTGTCAATTTGTAATATTTCTTCATGTTTTTGTCACAAAGGATCATGGACACCGTTCAACCCGGAGACCATCCGTCTGATGATTGGTAAGTGTTTGGCTTTATATCTCATTGAAAGTCAGGTTTTGAATGGGTTTTAGGACAAAACATATTTTGTCTGACAAGAAGACTTGTATTGCCATCTTCTAGGGCCGCATTTGTTTATTGCGATCCAAATGCTTGAACCGGTTGGACCAGAGTTGTTTGTCTATGAAATGAGGTCGGACCTAGTATCCTGATGCTGCATTCATCAGGCGAGCCTTGAAAAAGCCTTGCAAGGCCTGCATAAACATTTGCAGGTCTGCCAGGATTAATATATCCGTAAATGTTACACATGTAAAAACAGACAAACCGATTGAACAGGATAAGCGAAAGGGGCCTTGGTGAATTCAAAGCTGAATGCAAGTCGGTCTGGAATGAGGGTTCTTTTAGAGGATATTTTCCTCAAAAATATTGTGACTAGACTGTATTTCCACAAAAGGTTTCTAATTGCTGTCTATATACTTAACTGAAGGATCCAGAAAATTATTTGTGTTGTCTTCTAAAAAAATCTGCCAATTGTGCTGTCATTGGGAAAATATGGTGCAAATTGGATTCAGGTGTTATGATATGCCATCTTTCCCAAATACCCAGGAAAACTGTTTAAACAGATCAACCTTAACCTTCAAGCATGTGTAACATTTTATGTCAATTATAAAACTCTTTAATCTGTTTTCTTGGATAAATGTGTTTGGTTTACACAGGTTTCAATTTGTTGCACTTTATAAATCAGTTGTCTATTTTCAAAAATTGGAATATAGAATAGGAAAATGGTTTACTGTGAAATATGAAAACAAATGGTTTATGGGATATCAGGATGATAAACGGTATACGGGGAAATATTTACTGCAGTTTAATTTGAGTTTATTATTACAGCGAACATTTGAAAACAACATAATATACATGTATATATATATATCAATTTGAATTGAAGGCAAATTCAAATTGGGCAAATACAGATTTAATCATAAAAGGACGGAAATTTCCTGGTATATGGTGTTATTTTAACACATTTCTTTAAGTTTTCAGCAAATGTGATTTAATATGTTATCTTCTTTAGGTATGTTTGACCGGGACAATTCTGGAAGCATCAACTTTCAAGAGTTTGCTCAGCTGTGGAAATATGTAACGGATTGGCAAAACTGTTTCCGTACTTATGACCGTGATAACTCGGGATCCATCGATAAAAATGAGTTGAAAACAGCCATGACAGGATTTGGTAAGCTAGAAGCGATCTATACATAGTTTCTTCTGTCATCTGTGATAACTTTTGTAAGTGATTGACAATCTAGCAGTCAGTCAAACAATTATGGTGTTCATATTTTGTGAAATATTGGATTTTTCCAATTTCTGCAATTACCCAATTCTATGCACGGAACCTAAAATCTGACCTTTGTTTACCAGGTAATTGGCATTTTTTCCTGCCAGTGTTTAATTTACCCACTTCTTTGTTGACGCCAAAATGAAATGCCTGTCATCCTTAATGGAAAATAATCCACTGATTTACATGACTTTGTATACATGTACTTTAGCTATCATCTTGCATATAATATTTTACATGTTTTTTTTTATTGAAAATTCACTCTTTGAATAATTGATATACTGGGTTTATAGAGTATGTCAATAATTTTAAAATTAATATTTCATAATTAATATATTTTTATCATAAAAAGTTAACAATAGACATCTCTTTTTATCACCAATATCTGGAAAATATAATATGGTAAATTTCTGCCATCATGACTTAAATGAATTTCTCAGATTTGAAAATCATAAAAATGAACAAATATGAAAGTGTGTTTGTTCGGAAATTACATATGATTATGTACTTGTACAGAGTTGTATGTATAATAAACCTCTGTGCTTTCTCCAGGGTATCGCCTCTCTGACAGATTCTATGACATCTTGGTGAGAAAATTTGACCGACAAGGACGAGGAACAGTTGCCTTTGATGACTTCATTCAGTGTTGTGTTGTCCTGCAGGTAAACTCAAATGACTGTTTGAAAAACAAACTGAATACTATATACCCCCGACTTCTGTCGGAGCATGGGTGTACAACTCATCCAGTTTACATAAGATATCATGTTTCCTGTAGCGAAACTCAAATGACTTGATTACATCATAAATAATCTGCAAAATCAACACTAAAATACAGTAAAAAATCCTATATTATCACAGATTAGTTTACATCGTGTAATCAATATATAGTGTGGCAACCTTTGTACAAGACTGCTCCGAGTTTTGACACTAATTTATAACTTTAGCATGTTGTGGCAGCTTTGCTTTAGGGGGCCACGTTGGCCAAGTGGTTAAGGCATCTGACATTTTGCTATCACTATCCCTCCACCACTGGGTGACGGGTTTGAGACCTACGTGGGACAGTCGCCAGGTTCTGGCCTTAGATCAGTGTTTTTCTCCGGAAACTCCGGCTTTCCTCCACCACCAAAACCTGGCACGTCCTTAAATGACCATAGCTGTTATAATAGGATGTAAAAATCAAACAAACCAACCCAAACCAAAGTTTTATGACTTCTATTCAGTGGATGCTCATCTTGACTAAAAGTTTGACACCTAGTTTAATCCATCTGATCACAATCTTGTACTTTTTCAGACTTTGACGGCAGCCTTTCGACAGCATGACACAGACCAAGATGGATGGATTCAGATAGGTTATGAACAGTTCTTAACGCTGGTGTTCAATCTCAAGTCATAATGTGCTTTATTAAAAGTCTTTTTAGTTATTTCATGTATAGAGCTGCTGTGTAAAGATGGTGTATTTCTGATACAAAGACGGTCATACATACACAAATGTTGTAGGAAAAGGCATTTATAATGTGTAAAATTGCTATTTGTTTAAATTAATTCAGCATGGAAAATTTCTCAATTTTTCAATCATATACGAAAAATGACTTTTGATATTTGTTAAATAATCATCATGCTTCAATTTTTTCAAATACAAACAACAGTTTTTTTCATATTAAAAATGTGTTGTTTTTTCACTTTATTTTCAACTTTTGATATTAATTCAGTAGTTATGTATCCATATCCTATTTATGCTTACATATATCCCAGAAACCACATTCTACCTATCAGTAACAGACTGTAATGATATAGATGAAGATAGCAAGCAATAATTGGTATGCATTGGCAATAATCAACGAACAGGATTCACAATCTCAAAGAGATTTAATGCAGGCAGATTTATTTTGAAGAAAATTTTCAAAATTTAAAATAATTCCAAGGTATTTTTACTGAAGGATTCCTTAACCATTTAACCAAGAAGAAGTAATTAAAGTTTTCTACAAAATTGTTTGTTCTTTTCTCAAATAGACAGCAGGACACTTGTTAAACAGTAAGCTTAAGATCATTGCATGAGTAAATAGAGTGAGAATTGATGTGCCTGACAGTAATTTTACAGTTATGTACTGTAGATCCTCTGTTTAATTATAGAAAGTGTCACAAAGGAGAGAGACAGTGGACATTATTCATTTGGATGTAATTCAAGATATTGGCATTTTTGGTTTTTCTTAAGTGCAACTAAAGTTCCTTGACCAGTATTAATTAAACGGTACCAGGTATTAACAATTGAGCACTTTGTACAATGATAAATGTGGCAGTAATGTCAATTAATATTTTTCGATCCTATAATACTTGATAAAAATGGTTTCAGAATTGATTGAAAAAAGTTTTGGTCATGAACAATAGAGCATTATCCTACATCCAAATATTAAAGGTAAAATAATAATTTGAGAAATTATTTCTCAAATGTAGTTTGATACTTTTTGCAGAAATGACCTGATTAATTTTGTACATTTTGCATGGTTGTATGGTTGTGTGTGTACATTTTGGTTTGGTTTGGTCTGACATGTTCAGATTGTTTTTCTTGTTTAACTAGTGTATTTATACCATCAGTAATAAGCCTATATCATGCTGCTCAGTAGTTTCAAGCACCCTTAAATATGAGATATGCTGTATATTAATTTTGCCGAGCTTTAGTTTGTGGATTTAGGACTACAGTAAAAGTTTATTTTAGCACTTCATTTACACTTAGTTAATTGTACCATACAGGGTATGATTTCCTGTTCCTGTGAGTCTTTTGTGTTGCAGGAAAGAGGTAAAAAGGTATCTAACAAGGAAACTAGAAGCAAATGATTTTGAAAGTGGATGTCCAGAATGTTTGCTTCACATTGACTAAATATTTACGGTGATGAATTCTTTTTCAAATTTGTGCTGTAAAAACCTGGTTTATATTTCCACCATTATCAACTTTAACAAGAGAAGGAATATTTAACATTGGGCAAAACATGCATAACATATATATATATATATATATATCGTATTAGATAGTGACCGGAAGTGTTTATAAGGTTGAACTAAACACAGGGTCAAGTTTTGAAAAGCCACAGAATGAGAATTTCACAGGCAAAAGTATTGCTTTACAGTGAAAAATGGACATAGGTGTTTTTGTCTCTATATAAAGAAGATGTCATGAACTGTTCAATACAATATAGCAAATGAATACATAATATATCAAATTAAAACTCTATTGACCTGATTAAAAACATTGTTTTTGTTTTTTGTTTACCATTATGATAAAATTCTACTGGCAGTAATATATACATTTTTTTTTTACATAAATGGGAAAATGTCCGTCAAACAAGAAAATTGAAGAAAAAAATGTATATATTCTCAATTATATCAAATTTAAGAGAAAAACAAATCATGATTAAGATTGTATTTCTGTAAACATTTTCATCACAATCATTACATTGGGTTGTGCTGTTCAATACTGGCTGATGGCTGTTGCATTTGTTGTAAACCTACCTCATATTTTGGAGACTATTTATTTTAGATACCAAACTATTTTCAAAATCAGCGAAAAATGAAAACATGAGCTGCATTTTGTTCACTGCTATATATAACAGTAATAATAATTTCAGGTTCTTATATACTGCTTTATCACAACCTAGTTTGTAGGTCGTCTCAAAGGGCTTCTCAAATTACCATTCGTGGTTATAGGGCCTTTGCAACCAGCCAATATCTTTCTGAACTCCCTGGGAGAACACAGCCGGTGCTGCCATTTCGGCACTCACAGCTAGCATTCACCAATTCTAACACTGCCAAACCACATACTCATTTACAGCTGAGTAGACTGGAACAACAGTGTAAAGTATCTTGTTCAAAGAAACGTCGCAGTGCTGTGCCCTGCCGTGATGTGACTCGAACCGCAACCCTTCGATCGCGAGTCCGGGGTCCTACCACTAAATTACTGTTCCTCTAAGTATAGTATATATATACTTCGATTACTGTCAGTCAAAAGAAGTTGATGTGCATTTTCTGATTAGTCTGCAATCTCAATCAGAATTGAAACCCCAGTTATAACACTTGGGCAGATAAATATATGCTGTTTAATGCTTTAAGTATTCTACTGGTTTCAAAGGATGTGTTGTGGGGGTACTGCATTGGTGTAACACCCTTAAACCATCTTGTAGGATCTTGTGTACCATGTTTCTAATTTTGAGACTAGGATCATCGTTTTCTTTCAACATTGTGTCATGATGATTAAAAGAATATGCAATTTCTTTTACGGAATGGCAGATGTCATCCTTTGTTCTCTTTAGGACTTTGTATCCGTGGTACTCGTGCTCCGTAGCCATGCTAGTCCAACTTGAAGCCTTACGGCTCATAAGCATACACAGCAACGTATAATTGATACATCAGTGATATGAAATACCAAATAATTATAACATCATGAATGAAGCATAATCTTGTACATCGCATGTATATATATAGTACCTATAAATGGACAGTATAATTATTTAAATTATTATAAAGTACAAGATAAATAAATTATCGGAAGATGGATGGACAGCTCTTGTACAATTACCTCACCTAAGTGTACTGTGGCTATGGGAAAACAGATGAGGTGATAACATTTTCTTAGCATAATAACACATGGGGCTGAATAAAGAATATGTTAATTACCAAAACAAAAATACAGGCATACAATTTATATACAGTGGTGTAGTGATCAGGGGATGGACAAAACAATATGTGTAAACCTGGAAATAAACAAGTACTTTAATGTTATCAGTCAGTGTGAGAAAAAACACAATAACCTAAGGTTGGAATCTAGACCATTAGTTTTATATCACTTCTTTTGAACCTTGACTAGAACAAAAGACATCCATATAAACATCAACAACAAAGATATGAGTAATTGTATAATTTATTCTTGTAAATTTTATAAATTCATTTTCTAATTTCAAAACACATTTTTACTAATATAAAAAATACATTCTGTTAATTGGTAATACTAAAACAATTATTCTTTCATGAAATAAACGGATACATATTGATATAAAACAATTATGAATCAACACCTTATCATATACAAGCATTAAGTCTAGACATTCACACATGTAAAACATTCTAACATTTAAATGAAATTTCATGATGTGCTTAGTTAAGGGAATTCAAAATCAAGTTCTATGTTAAATACAACTCTTTTCTTTGAGCATATATAGCACCTTGAAGTGCGAGATGTCGAGAATATTAGAAATGTTTTTCTATTTTTTTTTTCTAATAACTTTATCATAGGTAACATTGACTTTAAGCCCAGAACCTTGAAATGTCAACTCAGTCGAGGTATTTTTTAGGAAGTTTCGCAAAAATCGCTTGGCTGATGACAGTTTTCTAAAACACTGTTAGGATAATGAACTCAACCTTAAGTATATAGAGAACCCTGGAACAGAACCTGTTCAAGGTATATTCATACCTATAACACTTGTATAAAAGTTTTTGAGAGATGAAATGGATGGAGTGACAAGAAGTGACAAGAGTGTTTTTCTCTAAAAACAATTCTGAAAATTAGACCATTTCATATTAGTGTATTTGGCAAGAAAGCAACGAAAAAAAGGACACATGCTACCTGGTAAATACATGTAATTGATATTTATCAATCAAATGATTTTAGAATACTAGAAGTCGTCCTATTCAAAATTTGTTTGATTGACAATACTGCTTCTTCTTATCATAAATGATGCATGTATTCTTGTGGCATTTCAAATCCTTTACTATTTATTTACTTTAATCATAAGAGATTTCTGAGTACCACAAATGATATTTTGTGATGTTGAACTTTTTGGAAGCATGTTTGCATTAGGTAGCATAACTCCTTAAAAGTAACATTTAGATTTAACCTTATTTTTTTTCAGTTCAATGGCATGCTTCGGAACTCGATGTTTCCAATTTATAGGGTAAGGAGAAAATCATTTGTAGCATATTGTGCTACATATACGATCACAGATATACTAAAGAAGGGTATTAATATGTGTAATATATCTTTACTTAATTGTTATACGTGTAATCTATTGCAACATAGATTTTCTAGACGAATATTTTTAATACAATAAAGTCTATTTATTTTATAGTAAAACCTGCCTGATACAATTTCTTAATTTTTCCAACATATCCTGTCATATCAGACATAAAGGTTTATACCATTCCTTGTATAATATACTACCAAACTGTATTTTGGCATCCTGTCTTATATAACAATTTCTGTACTTTAAATTATACTTGGTCATACATTTTAGCCAAGTTGCAGTTACATACATGTTGTTTCTTAATACAGTCATGCGGCCTCTTTGATACAGCTGTTACAAAGTCGGATGTATTAATATCAGCCAGTGTCATGTATTTTCTAAAAAAAACACCACCAATTGTTGAGCTGATTAAGATTGTCCCAATATGTTAAAAATATCCTTTGTTTCAAAATTGCAATATATTTCTGTTATAAGAAAGTTTTGGACTATACCCAGCTGCATTTATAAAGTCATGTTTTGTCATTTGAAATTTTCATGATTTTTCCTAACAAACTATTGGGATGTGTTGACATTTTTATGTTGATGAATCAATTCAAAGCAAGTCAATAGTGTTATGTCTGGATTATATGGTACTTGGTAAATCGGTGTGTGGAGCAATGCCAACATCTAGTTTCACTTTGGTCCTCACAGTCACTGGTGTGTTTTCTCTCTCAAACCTCTTCAGGTGCCGGCAGCACTATCAGGTGACGGCGCTGAGGTCGATGTACGAGGAGGTGAAACGGAATCGGGGTACAGATGTAGAGATGAATAAACACTGACTGCATTGGGTAGTGACCTGTCAAAACAGCAAAACCAATTTTATTTGCATGTTAACATGACTGAAACACACAGGACGGTAATTCATCTGGTGTAAAGCCATTAGAAAGTTTTAAATATCAAATTTAGGAGTCTATATAATAGTCAAAATAGTTATAACAAAATCAGCACACTCCTATGTTCAATATGTTTGCATTATAGCAAGACTGATTAGTAGGATTAGTGACTCAGAAGTTCTGATGGTTAGAGCATCTGTCCAGAATTAGGAGATCTCGCAGTTCTATCAGTAGTGTGACCCGACCCCACCACGTTTTTCTCTCCATACGGTGGTGCCTGTATTGACCAATGGCCGTGCAAACTTGCCAACAGAACACATGAACCTGGGTTGTAATTACTTGTATGATTCTTCGGGTTTAGTGACTTTAACTCATTCACCCCTGAAATTTCATAATGAACTATTCTAACCTTTGAATTGGAAGAGTTCAAACATGTCTTCATGGGTGAATGAGTTAATAGAAAGGGTTGAGACTGGGTATTGTTTTCTCTGGTGATTGTCTGTTATCAAAGCTCCGAGATCCTTGATTTGAATCCGGATTATCCCAGGTTCTGTTTTATCTTGCTGTCTTGTTATGCAATCATAATTATTAATCACACATAGCTGTAAACACACTGCTAAAAGTTGATGATTTCTTTAATTAATATGTTTCATGACAGCATGTCTTCATGGTTATATAATTTATCTTCATTCTTGCACAGGTCAGTTATAAGTCTTTATCATTGAGGCATCAACTAATGTTCAAGGCCCCTTTCGCGTTATCGGTTCTACCGTTTGTCTGTTTTTAAATGTAACATTTTCGAGTATAAATCCGGAGGGACCTGACAATGTTGATGCAGGCCTTATTTGCAAGTCTTTGTCAAGGTGTGCCTGAAAGCAGCTTCAGATTACTAGGTCCGGCCACCAACCGGTCCAACCGTTTGGATCGGGATAAACAAATGAGACCCTAAATACCCTATTCACGTTTTTGCATGCACCCATGATTCACATCCACGCGTGTACTATAGTATATAAACTCTGTTAGAATTACCTGTTTACAGCTTCTGAGACTGGAAATACTTACGTCATAGTCACATCCGCCTGTTTCATCGTGTGTATTTCGCCATCAATGTTCATGAGGTAATTGAGGAAGTTCTTGTCACCCAAATCCTTTGGCTTGACCTTTATTCTGATCCTGGAAGGCTGCCGTAATGTTATTGTAGGGATTTCCCCTTCCTTAAAATGGACAAGTTCAATTGATTACATTACAATTACATTTCAACATATTGTATTCGCCCTACATTTGTAATACATGTACTGCACCTATCCCTATCATTCGTTTTGGTCTGAGCATCTAATCACTGACTAAATTGAAAACATGTGTCTATTGATTATGGCTACGTTTTAAAACGAATTTTAGATTGTTTTGCAATTTTTATTCCCCCCCCCCCCCCCCCACCCCAAAAAGTGCCCTGGATATTTTGCTGGTCAAATAATGTCCAGACACACTGGTAGGTCAGTTAATAAGTAAAGTGTGCTTATAATTTGTATTCTAAAGATCTAGCTTTTGATATCTTTGGTTGTATATGATAAATGGCTGATGTCAGAAGCAATCTTACGGAACAAACATAATACATAACAGTTAAACCTGATGAATATCAATATTCCCCAACAGGACAATGAAGAAATATAGTCAAACCTGTATTAATAGATGCCCTTGGGAGGTCCAAACGTTCTCTCTAAATATATAATGCAGATGGGCTCTTATGTAATAGTGTTTTTTGTCTTTGTTTTTGACTGAATAACATATACACATGTATGTATATATGTATTCTTATTTAACATACCTGTAACATCTCTCTGTTAACCATTTTGCCCATCAAACGAATAAAATCTAATCTGGAAAATTGACGAAATACAATAACCATCCATGTTCCTTTAGCTTGTCCAAATACTTCCGCAGGGAAGAACGACACATTGCTGAACTCCCCGTCCATTTTTTCTGCAAAATATCAAACAAATGATGTAATAAGCTGCAAGTCATTAACATGAATTTAATTCAGCCAGACCGACAACATAGTAGAAAAACAATTACTGTTATGATGACCAGTCAATAAAGCTATGGTCATTTTATTTATGATAGTCATTTTAGGTGTATGTAACTGTGCTACTTAAAATCGATCCTGATCCCAAGGCCCACTATATAACCATATTTACCAAATATTTTTGCTAGACATAAGGAAATGAATATATCACTGATGCCTTGGTTGATTTAGGAGAGTGGACCCAGCTGACAAGACCCTGTGTAGTAACATTCCCATTTTATAACTATGGCTGATCATGAGATTCCCACCCTAAAAACAATTACATTTTATTCATGCTACTATAATCGGCCAAAAGGTCTCTTCTTACCCCAGGGGACTTAGTCCTTGAGTCATGGCATGACAACCGTCAAGACTTCCATAGATACAATTGCTAGCCATTAAGGCATAAATACAGTCATGCTACCAGAAACGGCACAAATGTTTGCTCTTCCAGAGTCTCGGGGATAAAGCCTAGGACTATGCCTTGGAAACAGATCGGCACAGTGAGATAAATAAACTTATGCTACCATGATTGCTTCTGGGTCCTGCTGGCCAAGTGTGGTCCTAAGATAATACATTGGAAACTGTTAGGATTCCTACCCTATAACAATATAATTGATTGTTTGACATGAAAAGATGAAAACATGGTGCTATCAGGACTGGGTCATAACATACATGCACCCTCTAAACATATTACCTGGTATACAGATCTCAACCAAGTTTGCTATGAAGCGTGCTTGTGACCTAGAAATCAACAGTTGGAAGAATTCAGCTTGTTTATTGGCTAACCGAGGTTCAGATAACAATGAAAACAGATAATGAGTTCCAGCTTAATAGTCCTCTTGTTTCATGTTATGACACAGAAAAAAATATCCTTTAACTATTATCTCGCCCACATATTTCCTCACATAGATACTTGCTCAAGGTCCAGGTATATTTCATGCAGATTTAGTTACCTTCTTTTTCACTGTCCTCTTGATTGAGTTGGCTGCAAATATCAAATAAAATGATAAGGTGCTTGCTTACACATAAGTTTCATTCTACAGCAAAAACTGAAATGACATAGCCATCCCCCGTGCTACTAATTCTAAACGGAGAAGTCTTTTTATCAACTGCAGCGTTCATTCAAACCTGCCAGTTGTTTACACAGCTATACAAACAGTCTATAATACATTAACAAAATTACCCTTATTAAATTCCTATTAATTACAAAGCTATATTTGTACCGAGTTGTATATATAATACCGTTATATACCTGTCAGTCAGTACAAATTACAGTTACAGATATACAGAGGTTTATATATAATACTTGTATAAACATATCAGTCAGTATCAATTCAACAGCTACAGATACACGTGTCTATAATACTTCTACAAACCTGCCAGTCAGGGTTATCTCAGCATTGAAGAGTCTATGAGTTTTCAACATGATCATGTATAATGACATGACTGCAATAACAATTTTACAGCAATTTATATATATGAAACAGTAAAGAAAAAAAATGATCAGACCAGAACTTAAACTTACAACCTCTAAACTTTTCATGGGGGAAATGTAGCAATCATTTCACGTAGTTAAGACAACTCAAAGTGAGATGAGCAAATCACAACAATATCGATAACATTCTTTTTCAAATCATGAAATTTCTCAATTTTTGACAGTAAAATTATCTCACCTAGTAAGTTGAGATTTGCCAATGACATGTATCTTTTATACCCATATAAGGAATAAAATGTATCTAATTTTGCATAAATTGCTTTTTTTTAAATTAACAATGTTAGGTTTGTGACTAAAATTTATCCTATTTAACGAGTAATACTTGTTCTCAACTAAAAATACTACATAGTAGCATATTTACCTGGATAACGAGCTCTCCTCATCCAGCGTTTCTGGTCCGTGAAATACATTATGTCTCCAAATAGGCCGTAGGCGGTCACCACAGAGCCGTACCCTATCAACTCATCTGCACTGTAATCAGCCACTAAGGGAATCTTGCAGGTGTTTCCTGTGTGTTATAACAATCATATTTTGATAAAATAGCAACCAAGTCATACAAAATAATCATGTAAGAAACAATATTTATGTTGAAGAATGTAATAATGTACAAATCATATGTGAGTCAAATTATATCAGGTCAGATGAAATATGTTGCTGTTAATGTAAAGCGCTTATATATATAAAAAAAACTACTAGAAAAAAGTTCAAAAGCCCACATGAAAATATGATTACATTGAAAGTTTAGTAATTTAAAAGTGTCATTACCATTCAATTATAGGATACAACCCATGTGGGAGCTGCCATAGTAGCTCTGTATACTTTGTTTGATACAATATTTAAAATCACTAAACAATGAGCGTAATATTGTTTTGTCTTTCAGAAATACACCTGGTATAATGCACTAAACACCTTTGCTAAAACTTGTTTCCTGATTTTTTAATTAAATATTTACAGAGAATCTGCCCTCCTCCATCTAGATTACTCTTGGGAAATAAAACTAGACCTTATGCAACTCCATTCGAGTTTCCCCCTGTCCAAATATAATGATTCTGGGCCTTCATAGTTTTCAACGAGAAATCATTACTGGTTAAATAAACAGATTGCAACATACACTGTGATAACAAGTGCACATGACCTAGTGGACCAAGCAGAATGAAAATGTAATTGTCATTTTATATGATGGGCAAGCCTTCGTTCATGCATGTTGTAACTTTGTACCTTTGATGATGTGGAGGGCGGCAGTGACAACGTCATAATTTCCGTATTCAGCTGATGATATACCATTTCCTGTTCCTGCAACAAAACAAGGTCAGAAGCCCAAATTTTAATATAGTTGTAAGGATATATGTACAAGGTGTTTATGTGATAGTATCTTTTCTCTGTGTCCAAAATCACTGAGGATCTGCAAGCTTTCAAGTGATGTGTTCATTACTCAATTATCACCTGAGTATATCACACCTACTTGACAACAGGTACTTACCTGAGGTTATCATACCTACATGACAACAGGTACTAACCTGAGGTTATCATACCTACTAGACAACAGGTTCTCGCCTGAGGTAATCAGACCTACTAGACAACAGGTACTCACCTGAGTGTATCACACCTACTAGACAACATGTTCTCGCCTGAGGTTATCACACCTACTAGACAACAGGTACTCACCTGATAATATTGCATATACTTCACAATTGGTACTCAACTGAAGGTTTTACATCTACTAGACAACAGTTTCTCGCCTGAGGTTATCACACCTACTAGACAACAGGTACTCACCTGAGTGTATCACACCTACTAGACAACAGGTTTTCGCCTGAGGTTATCAAACCTACTAGACAACAGGTACTCACCTGAGTGTATCACACCTACTAGACAACAGGTTCTCGCCTGAGATTATCACACCTACTACACAACATGTACTCACCTGATAATATTGCATATACTTGACAACTGGTACTCCACTGAAGGTATTATACCTACTAGGCAACCAATACTCACCCGAGGGTATTATGCCCATTGGTATGGTACAAGGAATAAAAGGTCCATTTATATCATTGAAGTTGGCTCCTGCCTTGTCATGGGAAATCCTAAGTAGTCTGTTAAGCACCTCAGAAAATGAGCCATCTCCTCCAAAAATTACTATACTGAAATAAAAAGAAATATTCGACATACTTGGTTATATATATTTTCACAAAAAGAGGCGATCACATATTTTAAGGATATTCCATGAACTCATTTTGAAACCTAAAGAAAATAAAAAATATCATAAACAACAAATTAAATTATTAATCATTATATATATATACATAAATATCAATCTAACAAAACAGAAAATGTTAACAATTTAGACACATTCAAATTTAATCAACTAAAGCTTAACAAAACAAAACATTACATGCCTCAATTTTCAATTTTCATGGTCAAGCCGATGCTAGTCTGTTTCTTATTAATGTACTAAGATGAAGTTTGCTGATATTTTGTAAATTACTCCGACCATAAGTGTGGGGGATCCTTGACTTTTAAGAGCATTCAGCTAAGTTATTTGTTAACTAGGAGCTCACAGATCAAAGTAATGTTTGTAAGTAATTGTCATTAACGTAGTATTTAGATACAATACAGGAGCATAGGGAACATACCCGTCCACAGTTGAAAAATCGTACTCTGTTACCATCTCCTCAAAGTGTTTCGCTCTTTCTGATACTAGAATAAAGAATTACATTATTTCAAATATGTTAGTAACTTAATATTTCCAACAACTGACACCATCAATTTAACTATATTCCACACTGATGTTTTCTCTTATAATGATGTCTAACTTTAAGACTTTGATCTATCGCTTTGGGAAGTTTTGTGCGAACATTTTTTGTGTGTTGATAGAACAAAATTTAACATAGTTGTCAAATCATTAAGGTGCAACATATTAAGGTAAAAGGTATAAGTTCAAATATATTATTACCATTAACACTTTAATGAAATGTTTAAATCCTTTTTATACAAAAAATATACCTAAATCATCAGTTGCAATGCATTTTTCCAGAATTATTTATAAATTTGTTCATAATTTGAAAATAGAAATAAGAAAAAAAAATAGAGGTCCAACTCATAGGGCCTAATTACACTGCAAATCCTACAGATCATCAATGGTGCTAACCAGTAATTACAAATGCACAGCATCAAAATGAGAGCCTGACTTATGGGCTGCAAGGTCTACAGGAAAAACAAAGTACCTAACTCTGAGTCAGGAAAATCTACTTTTGGTTGATTCGTCTTATATAGAAGAAAAGTGCTACTCAAAGTGGCACTTTTCTTCATAACTATAATGTAAATGGGGATTTTGATCACTCAAGGTCAAACATGTCGTCAGTGTGCATCTGACCACCTAAAGTCAGGAGTGCTTCCCAAAACACGGCACCTCTCATCAGTCATATTGAGTAACGCCAGTGTCCGGATGTGACTGAAGCAATAACAGTATTTTATTACTGCTGACCATTCCCTGGACTGCCTTTAATGTTTATATCCGTGTGCCAGAGAGAATCAGTCCTTGTGTGGCCTTGGCAGGAGTAGGAGCTCAGATACTCAGTTGTTTCGTCTGTTATTCATTGATAGAGCAATATTGAGGGTAACATATTACTAATAACGAAATAACTAATTATGAACAATTATAACAGTGATACCCTATTTATTAGCTATAGCTTTATTAGACCACTAGTTTCCTACCTTTGACATCACAGGTGATTCCAGCGCGTTCAAACATTGGCAATATTCGTTTAGAGTTGCGTTGTCCGTATCTGCCGCCACTAATTGGGTTCACTAACACCAGGAAACGCTTGGGGCGCAGGTCACACACTGTCAGATATAAAATAATAAGTCAAACTACTCCTGCGTAAAAATCTTTTAGATACATAATATTGCCATCCCAGGATATTATCCAGCATACAAAACTAGGTAACTCTTGATAAAAAAGAAAGAATGCAGACTTTCAAATGATTGGGGTCATAGGTATATAGCTGTCAATCCTCCCTCATTTTGACCAAAATTTACCAATCTCCCTCAAAACTCACAAAAACTCAACATCTTCATCATGTGGTCAAATGAATTCCTAGCTACTGCAGGTAGAGAGTAATGATCATAATAGGTTTTTCGTAATCAAATGAATGCTTTTTAGAGTTATTTTGAAAAATAAAAAAGTGAAAAAATAAGATGTTCTTTGTACCTGTGTTACTAATTCAGTAACTCTAGGTAATTTGTGACCATAACACCGTATTGGAGATATGCTCAGGACAAAACAAATTACTAGTTAATTATATCCAGAAAATAATAGAGTAGATATAGATAGCCATTTAATTTTTGTTTTTCAAAAAGTTTCAATATTATTTTTAAATGTTGGATAAAACTAGTTGCTATCTAGTCATAATTGCAGATAATCTAGATTGTGCATATGTGAGATTAATTAGGGGGTATATATGTAGTAGGAAGAAATAGTAAATAGAATATGTGCGTTTGTTACGACTCGAACCCGGATCACAGACTTTCTTATTTGATGCTCTACTGCATTGCTAAAGGAAAATTCCCTGTAGCTGAGGCTTAAGTAAGGTGACTATTGCACTATGTACAATTCTTATTACAACATTGTAAAGTGACTAGAACGATTGATGTGGGGTTTAGCAGGAAAGTATTAATTTTGTCTTCATTATAACTAAAATTACTGCTACCCCTCAGGGTTTAGAATCTGTTAACAGACATTTGAGACCTGTGTGGTTGGAGGGGGTATAGTTTCCCCGGTGCTTACCTGTGGGAATAATTAATCAAAACATATTATGGAATGTTCAGGGATTGGACTGACATTCCTGCAAGAACCATGGAGCTGCTAGGCTGCCCCCTACGTAGATTCCATGAACTTGTTACATAGCCAAGTAAGCATGCCAGATGTCTCCATGGACCGGCAGAAGCTGGAAGCGGTTGAGGGCTTTATACTGTACTTTAAGAACCTGCTCCTTAGCTACATACATATACAACTCAGACCTACTGTACTTACCTTTCTGGAAGTGTAACTGTAGATCTGAGATGAATTGCTGACACTCCAACACCTGTCCAGTTATACACAACGTGGCCTGTTTCCATATCAACTTCTTCCGTGTGATGTAGTGTACCTTACCCAGCCATTTTGGTTTTGCAGATTTTGATTGGTCAGTGGAGGCATTCAGCGCAACGTCATTTTTCTCAATTACTATGACGTCATCTAATGCTATGGTGGATTCTAAACATTATACAATATGGTTTAGATATTATTTTATTGTCCTCTAAATGATAAGCGATAAGAGCTAACGTTATACATGTATTTTACAAGCACTTTAAATAAATCACATATTTCCTATAAGATTGAAAATCACTTACAAACTATAAACACCATGAAATGAAGACATTACTTGTATCATGTGTTGCAACATTATATTGAAATTGGGAAAGTAACATAAATTCAATCAAACATGTCATGATGATGAGTAATCAGAAACATTAATTAAATGTCAATTGACATCATCTAGGTGTTTAGGACACTTAAGCAATAAGCACCACCTTAAGTCTGTCTAGCATTTATCCCAAGAAATATTTATAATGTGTATATATTCTATGTCAATTGGTCGAACCATATATACAGTACCTTAGGTTTATTGATATATACATCATTAATTGCGTGTTTTCATAACATGTGTACACGATTACGCCCCGTGCGTCAAACAGTGAATAAAACTCGTCACTTTTATTTCGCTCCGTGAGAGGTTGAGATGTAGACCGAATTTTACTGACTAGATCAATTGGTATGTGATACTGTATACATGTTAAGTGTACGTAAATGTTGTTACAATTCATACCTTTCGGTTTCCGGCCCTGAATAACAATCCGAAGCTCCTGTTCGCTGACAGTGCACTCTGCAATCTTACCATCAACAATCAGAACATTCCGCATTGTTATTTACATGTATTCTGTGTCAAATACGAAACCATTTGTTCCTAGCTAGTAGGAGATAGGCCGTTTTGGAGCTATTTATAAAAACGTGAACTGGGGAAAACACCACATTCATGAATGATTAAAGATCCTTGCGCGGTGTAATCTCGGTCATTTTGTCGCCATTAACGTAATGAAATGTTCATCCTCTAGGCCTATCGATTTTCAATCCTCAGTTGTCTGTGATTACCTTACTCTATATAATCTGAGCACTCCCGTAATATTGAAATGTTTTATGGGCATGTAGCGCTCATCTGCTATTCCATCTAAACTGCAGCTCCCCTCCGCATAATTAAGGAGGCTCCACCCATTCGCAAGTAACCAGTGGCATTCGTTGAAACTTTCCATTAAGGTTATGCAATTATGTAGTGATGATTTTATGAAAATGTAAGCATTCCGATAGACTGGGGATTTTTGGGAAAAAAATACCTAAAAAAGTGAGATTTCTTCAATTTTGTAGTGAGACGAGGAATAGTGATAAAGATAGTGCCGTCGCTCGGGCTCCCACTTTTCACACACCAACCCAGGTTCTTTGACTCCCCGCCAACGGTTCTCCTACCCTGAACGAGAAGGGTCAACGGCACTAGTTTGTAGTAGGACGAGGAATAGTGATAAAGATAGTGCCGTCGCTGGGGCTCGAATCTGCGACCATTAGCTCTACAGCTTGATGCTCTACCGCTGAGTTAAAGGAAAATTCCATACAGCTGACGCTTGTAAGGCAAACTAATCAATGCTCATCAGTTAGAATTTTAATGTTTTACATTTGTTTTGTTGTGTGGCGTTGTTCGGAAAAATAACAACGATAAAAAAGGTGAAAAGAATCATTGCTATTTAACCTACAAATGATTTATTTCTAATACATAATGTACTGTGTTATCCACTGAATAAACCCATGTCATATTCATTTGCGTATTAACCCATGTAACATGACATATCAGCCCTGTGATTGGATGTAATTAAAATATGCAATACAGCTGTTGCAAGTATCACTGCAATTGCACGCTCTGGTGAAAGGGTCATACCTCTATGGATGCACCTAAATCTCGTCTTCCAAACTCCAAATGTACGCTTAAAGACACACCTCGTTGCTTTGTGGGATGCATTATATTTCGCCTGTCACCTTGAGTTTAAGGATTTAACTTTGGAGTAAAATGCATGGTCTTACTCCATACACGCTGTCCCCCAAGAACCAGCTGAAATATCATTCGCCTTGAATGCATCACGCAGACCACAGTTATTCCAAATATAGGAGTCGTGAGTAGACACTGGCCACTTTGCAACCATATTCCGGAATTTGCTGTTAGCATCACAGATCCCCTAGATTTTCAAGGCATGATATCTTTTACAACAGACATGTAGATGTTCATCCTGGGATGGTGTATGAATCTGAGTTAAGCTTCAATCAACTTCGCCTTACACATTGGGAACTCCTCTGATGGCATAGAAATGTTGTTTCAACAGTGATGGTCCGTTCCGATCCATAGGAAAGTTGATGTAACTATCACTTTGACGTGCTTTTAGACACTACAGATTTTTTCCCCATCAGCCTCTTACTGTCAACATGTCAACAAGGACGGCTTATTAATCCGTTTTACGATAAGCATGACAATTTTATTTGTAAATAAAGTTCCTGGGATTTCGCAGATTATATTCAGACCGAATGCAGTAAGTATAACTCTTATATTACTTGTTTATTTGGCAATACATAGTGATGCCTTAATTCCACTTCAGTTTCTTCCGCATCCACGTCAGCCTGTTTCTTTTACCTGAAAATGCATAAAGAAAACCAGCTTATGGAGTTTACATGTCAAAGCTGATTCAAGAACCTATCTTAAGTAACGGAGTGCTCAGGTTAGATACGTCATGTTTCGCAGAAGCAAGTATTAGGTCATCATCATTATCAGGTTACAAACCAGAGGCCTTCGGTGTTCATATTGATAACAAAGAAATGTTCACCGTGTCTTAGACTGTAGCACGAGTTTCCTCCGGCCCGGGCACCAGACTTAGACCAGATATCTATCTATCAAAATGTCTAAGTCTGCTGTCAGGGCCAGAGGACACTCGGGCTACTTTGACAATTGGTGACACATATACTGTTTTGAATATGACCATAAGACAACATATGTATCGCATTAGAGACAGTCATTGTTAAGACATCGGAGAAAAACCAGTTTCTGTCTGTTGCTTTTTTGGGGTTTCATATTGTCTTTCACTTTGGTTTGGTGCATCTTCTGTTGCATTTGTTGTAATTTCTCATAGGCATTGAGTTGTGAATTTGGCCTTATGTGGCGACATTGTGTTAGTTTTTATATTGTGTTTTAACGCTTCAACGTGTAGCTTCTATCAATCAAACAATGTGGCCAAGCCTCGTGATCAGGAAAGACTCAAATCTGAATGTTGTCCAATAAAACGATACTTTTTATGAATTGATATTTTTTTTTTATATGAAATTGCCACTACAAATACCTCGTCCGAACAGTTGAACAAGACTGGTGGGAAACTGGTGATTTCTTCAAAAACATTAATGTTTAATATCATATTCGCCGATCATGCGTTTACAGAAGAAACAAGTTATGACGTGTAAGAACATTTATTTCAGCAAAGAACATAATTCAATCAATGGAGATACTTAAAGATTCTAGTCCCACTGCAAGTAAAACACTAGAGAATTCCATATTTAATAACTTTCATGAGGGTTGAGTTAGAAAGACAAAAGTTACTGTTTGGCCAGTAAACGACGCAATACCGAGCGTTCTATGTGGCTCCTCATATGAGATGCAGGACAAACTACAATAACAGTTTAAAGTCTTTATTATGTCGCAAATCAAACCTTTTTATTATATTAATGGATGTTTGCGTGAAAAATGGGCTTCGTTGCCTAGACTATGTTAACAATATCTTCTTTATTACATGTCGACTGTAAACGTACTCACTCAAACATGCACAAATCGAAATTATTGTCTTGTACAACACCACCAGTATTACCCCTTCATTCGTTGCTGTCTTATAAATATCCTGACCCGAAATCACACGAAGTTTACGAACCTTGTCCTAATTGTTTTTTCCACAGTAGAAGGTACAATGGCATAACTGACATGAAGAATACGTATTATATATCAGAAATAATAGTGTGGTCTTACAATAGCGTTATTTCGTAATGGAAATGATAAGCAAGCAATATTGCGTAATGGATTAAAGAATGCTTTAAACATTAGACAAAATTGACGGTAAGTTCATTATATGAATAAAATTTGTTAGACATATCCCTTTAATCCACAATGTACCAAAACAACATTTTAGCGCATTTTTTTGCAAAATATTGCTTTATTGTAAAGTAGTTCCTACTTGCATAACGCGCTCTGCCCATCCAACATTTCTGGTCGGTGTAGTACATCATGTCTGTAAACAGGCCGTAGGCAGTTACCGCCGAGGAATACCCTAACAACTCGTAACTGCTGTACTCTGCCATTAAGGGAATCATTCGGGTGTTCCATTGAAGATAAAAAAAGTAATACAACAGCAAAAACCAATTTAATACTTAACAGTGTTTTTTATGATCGCTAAAATACCTCAGAGGGGAGTGTAAAGAGATATCTACTGTAAGAGTTTACCATAAAAACCTAGCTGCGGGAACCGTAGCTTCTAGGCCTGATCGTTTTAAAGAAAAAAACCAGAAAACCATCGGGCCTAGTAGCTACGGTTTCTTCAGCCACGTAAAAAAGTTGGCTGTTGCAGCATTGATAATCCAATCCCAGAAAATGAATATACATCTAAAAGTATTTATTTCCGTTCTCAGTTTAGTTTAGACATATTTTTATTCATGAAATGCAATAGGATTAGACAAACGTTAACAAATCTTATGGAGGCCCTTTTTCTAAAATAAGAGTTTGAGTAACGACACACATATTAGACCGTTGCGATAAAGGTCTATGAAGTTATTGTAGCCATTGATGAAGAGGAAAGACAGAAAAGAAAAGATCGACTTGGAAGAAACGATTTGATTAGAACTATCACTGTGTGAAGAATATTGACTGGGTAAACACAGAATCATAACAAAGACCACTGTGATCAACAGCTAAACATTTAATATTTCGTGGTTTTTTTTGATAGAAAACAACATAGTTATTCTGGATTTCAATCACGGCAATGCGTTTATTAGACAAAACATTGGACATGCAATCTGCTTTATCCACCATCTCGAATAGGACACAATACTTATAATAATAGGAAACTCCCTATTGCAGTTAGTTTCATGTAAATTAGACTTATAGGAGACCATCTATAACAAGAAACCACTTTAACCCTTTCACCCCTAGGTAACTTAAGTAGACACTACCATGCATTGATATGGATGATCGAGTCCATTATGGTCTACAGTGGTGAAAGGGGTTCAGGACTACCCGCAGATTGCCTCTGAATACAGAATTTACTTTAGAATTATTAGAGGGTATCGTATCGATGGGGCAATTTGTATTCACCTGAAGGTATCGTACCGATTGGTATGTTATTAGCAGTAGAGGGCCCAACCATATCATTTGTCATTTGCCAAAAAATACTATGCTGGAAATTGAGAAAAACGTGTTTGTGTAAAGCGGTTGGTATTTTGCGAGGGTTTTTCTTCGCTATTCTCACGGCCTAGACATTATCTGCGAAATCCCCTTTGATGATGTGTCGGTTTAAAGGTTAACGTCTGCATAAAAGGCCAAATGGGGACAGGTGCTAAGGGAGATAGCACCAACAAAAAGGAAGAGATAACAAATGTTGCCAAGTTGGCTTATTCAATGTCTCCTAAGCAAAAAAAACCCCACAAAACAAAACCCCGATTCTGCAAGTCGACTTCAACGAAGCCGGGAAAGCCGTAATTCCAAAACCCTCACATGGGAACGGATACCCTTGATGTGATGTATGTACCATATTTATGCTATTGTTATTTGTTTTATAAATGTGAATTCAATAGGTGATATTTACATTTGCTCTGCATCCTTCAATTGCAATGCATTTAGAAGGCAAATGCTATTGTGGACTATAACAACGTTATACAATTGTTTATGGCTATTTGTGGAACATTCAAAACTATCATCCCGAGGTAGGGAGAAGTCATGGGGGACTGTTTGCACGAGGCCGCTAGGAAAACAATTCTTTTATAAGTTCTTGCAAATGGAGAAGGGTAGCCATGTTTGAATGTACAAAAAATGCTGAGCTAGCAAGTTCAATATTAAGTACGTTCATATGCGTTCTGAAAGGCACACTTAGTAAAACAACTCTAAATTGGGCCCAAGAAATATTTTCGAAACAGCAAAATGATGAAAAAACCGGAGCCGACACAAACACAGTCATGTTATATGTTCTTCTGGAATTGTACCACATTGACTTAAATGTATATAGTTCTATATTGAGCCTTATTTTGATAACCGGTAAATGGTACTTTTACATCACTTCTTTTGAATCTTGACTAGAAAAAAAGACATCCATATATCAACAACAAAGATATGAGTAATTGTATAATTTATTCTTGTAAATTTTATAAATAAATTTAAAAATTTCAAAACACATTTTCGCATTATAAAAATACATTATGTTGATTGGTAATTAAAACAATTATTCCCTCATGAAATGAATGGATAAATTTGATGTTAAACGACAATGGATCATCAATTCCTTATCATATATAAGCATAACATCTAGACATTCACACATGTATAAAATTCTAACATTTCAATGAAATTTCACGATGTGCTAAGTTTAGGGAATTCAAAATCAAGTTCTATGTCAAATAAAGTTTTTACTGTGAGCATAGCGCACCGAAGTATGCGATTTCGAGAATATCAAAATTGTCTTTCTAGCTATTTCTTCTCTAAAAACTGTAGTATAAGTAATCTTAACCTTGAGCGCAGCACCCTGACATGTCAACTCAGTCGAGGTATTTTGTATGAAGTTTCACAAAAATCGCTAGACTGATGATTGTTTTTCTAAAACACTGTTAGCATAATGAGCTCAACCCGAACTATATAGAATATGGAGAACCCTGGAACAGAACCTGTTCAAGGTATATTCATACCTATTACACTACACAAGTCTTTGAGAGATAAAATGGCTGGAGTGACAAGATTGTCTTTCTCTAAAATCAATGATCAGAAAAATTAGACCATTTCATATAATTGTATTTGGCAAGAAAGCAACAGAAATTTAATTATTCAGGGAAACATGCTACCAGGTAATTTATATTTATCAATCAAATCATTTTAGAATAATAGATTCCTCCCAATCAAACATTGTTTGATTTACAATACTGCTTCCTTTGATCATGCATAATGCATGTATTCTTGTGTCCATTTCAAATCCTTCACTATTTATTTACAAATTTAATCATAAGAGATTTCTGAGAATCACAATTTATTTTCGTTTTGCTTTGGAACTATTTTGGAATATGCATGCTATTGCAATGTAGCATAACTCCTTAAAATCAGCATTTAAGTTCAATGGCATGCTTTGTAACTCGATATTTCCAATTCATAGGGTAAGGAGAAAATCATTTGTAGCATATTGTGCTACATGTAGAATCACAGATATACTAAAGAAGGGTAATATTTATATTTGTAATATATCTTTACTTAATTGTTATACAAAGCGTGTAATCTATTGTAGGATAGAGATTCTAGACAAAGATTATTTTTCAATACAATAAAGTCTGTTTATTTTAAAGAAAAACCCTGCCTGATACAACTTCTCAAGTTTTCCAACATATCCTGTCATATCAGACATAAAGGCTTATCCCATTCCTTGTATAATACACTACCAAACTGAATTTTGGCATCCTGTCTTATATAACAAAATTTCTGTACTTTGAATTATACTTGGTCATACATTTTAGCCAAGTTCCTGTTAAATTCATGTTGTTTCTCAATACAGTAATGCGGCACATTTCATGTACCCGTCACAAAGTCGGATTTCTTTCAGCCAGTGTACTTTAAAAAATATATTTTTGAGCTGCTTAAGATTGTACAATCTTATACAATCCAATCTGATAGAAATATCCTTTAATTTAATATTGCAAAATATTTCTGTTATAAGAAAGTTTTGGGATATACCTAGATCTATTCATAAACAAAAGTAATTTTCTTGTCAGTGCAAATTTCACATTTTTTTTTTCTCATCAAACTATTTACTATGTTGAATTATTTATGTTGATGAATCAATTCAAAGCAATTCAAAAGTATTATGTCTGGGTTATATGGCACTTGGTAAGTGGGTGTGTGGAGCAATGCCAACATCTAGTTTCACTTTGATCATCACAGTCAATGATGTATGTTCTCAAACCTCTTCAGGGGCGGCAGCACTATCAGGTGACGGCGCTGAGGTTGGTGTACGAGGAGGTAAAACGGAGTCTGGGTACAGATGTAGAGACGAATAAACACTGACTGCATTTGGTAGTAACCTGTCAAAACAGCAAAACAAAACTTTATCTGCATTTTGACCTGTTAAAACAGCAAAAACAATTTTTCTTCATAATGACCTGTCAAACAGCAAAACAATTTAAATCTGCATGCTCACATGACTGAAACACACAGGACGGTAATTAATCTGGTGTACAGATTTGGTCAAATTGAGGTGACTATAAAATTATCAAAATAGTTATAACAAAATCAGCACACTCCTATGTTCAATATGTTTGCAACATAGCAAGACTGATTAGCAGGATTAGTGACTCAGAAGTTCAGATGGTTAGAGCATCTGTCCAGAATTAGGGTTCTATTACTGGTCTGGCCCAACCATATGTTTCTCTCCATTTGCAGTGGTGCCTGATTTGACCAATCACCGTGTGTACTTGCCAACAGAACACATGAACCAGGGTTGTAATTACTTGTACGTTCTGCAGGTTAATTGACTTTATCTTTCATAGTTCATAATGAACTATACCAAGCTTTGAATTGGAAGAATTCAAATATGTCTTCGGAGGTGAATGCTTTAATAGAAAGGATGGGAGATGAAGCGAGACAGGGTATTGTTTTCTCTGATGATTGTCCTTTATTAAAGCTCCGAGATCCTTTATTTGAATCCGGATTATCCCAGGTTCTGTTTCATCTTACTGTCTTGTTATGCAATCATAATTATTAATCACACATAATTGTAAAGCACACTGCTAATAGTTGATGATTTCTTTAATTAATATGTTTTATGACTGGACGTCTTCATGGTTATTAAACTTATCTTGCACAGGTCAGTTATAAGTCTTTATCATTGAGGCATCAACTAATGTCCAATGCCCCTTTCGCATATTCGGTTCTACCGGTTTGTCTGTTTTTAAATATAACATTTTCGGGTATAAATATGAGGAACCTACAAATATTTATAAAGGCCTTGCAAAGCTTTGTCAAGGTGCGCCTGAAAGCAGCATCAGATTACTAGGTCCGGCCACCAACCGGTCCAACCGTTTGGATCGGGATAAACAAATGAGGCCCTAAATACTCTATTCATGTTTTTGCATGCGCTCATGATTCACATCCACGCGTGTACTATAGTATATAAACTCTGTTAGAATTACCTGTTTACAGCTTCTGAGACTGGAAATACTTACTTCATAGTCACATGCGCCTGTTTCATCGTGTGTATTTCGCCATCAACGTTCATGAGGTAATTAAGGAAGTTCTTGTCACCCAAGTTTTTTGGATTGACCTTTATCCTGATCCTGGAAGGCTGCCGTATTGTAATTGAAGGGATTTCCCCTTCCTTAAAATGGAAAAGTTCAATTTATTACATTACAGTTAAATTTCAACATATTGCATTCGACCTACATTTGTAATACATGTACTGCACCTATCCTTATCATTCGTTTTGGTCTGAGCATCTAATCACAGAATAAATTGAAAACATGTGTCTATTGATTATGGCTTCTGGTGGGGATTGCAAATCATTCTTTATAGTATAATGATAATTATTCACGTTATACATTATACAGAACAAACATAATACAAAACAATTAAACCTGATTGTGAAATCTGATGAATATCAATATTCCCCAACAGGAAAATGAAGAAATATAGTCAAACCTGTATTAATAGACACCCTTGGGAGGATAAAACGTTATCTCTAAATATATAATGCAGGTAGCCTTTTACCCATACCTGTATTCTTATTAAACATACCTGAAGCATCTCTCTGTTAACCATTTTGCCAAGCAAACGCATAAAATCTAATCTGGAAGTTTGACGAAATATGAGAACGACCCATGTTCCTTTTGCTTTTCCAAAAACGTCTCCAGGGAAGAACGCCACATTACTGAACTCCCCATCCAATTTTTCTGCAAAATATCAAACAAATGACATAATAAGTTGCAAGTAATTAACATGAATTTAATTCAGCTAGACCGACAACACCATCCCACAACACAACTCAAATATCATAGAGTGTAAATAGGAAACAATTACTGTTATGGTGAGAAGTCAATAAAGAAATAGCCATATATATTATGTTTTATAAGCTCGTCAGATTTATTCACGTCATGGTTGGCTACCAATAAGCCTGGACAGAAAATAGAAAGAATTTATAAAAAAAGATATTCAAAAGAAGCTGAAAAGGATTTAAAATGTCTTCAACAAAGACAGGCTTTCAACATCCATTTAATTTTGGAACTGGAGTAGTCGAACCTTTTGTTTTCGCATTTTCCTGATTGGCCTACTGTATTGACCTCTGCTCCTAATGAAGCAGAGTCATGCCCTTCATTTGCACAATACTGAACCTCCATAATCATCTGATGGTCCATGAAATATTTATGGTTGATTGTCATTCTCCTTAAATTAGGCATAGCCTTCAAAACACGCCTGTAACAATTTCCCTTATTTGACCCCCGCCTCCAGAGGGCACATCTTAATACATTACAGTGAATTCCAAGGTTCACCGTACGATGTAGTAGTCTTCTGATTACTTACCCTTGTTTTCCTTGTCTGAGCTCTGCCTATCCGCTCACAGATGGCATAAGCTACATTTATACCACACACAATTAACTTGTCCCGATGATGCTTCATGTCAAATACTCTAAATTCCCTTAAAATGCTCTGGTGTTTTGAATGAGGAGGCAGAAGGGCAAGTGCAAATAGAAATAAAAGGTGTATGTCACGGTGTATGTCACAGTGCTTTTAGTTATCGATCCTGATCCCCAAATCAACTATTCCGTCTTTGCGTATTGCAGAGTTATCTTCTCTTGGTAGCAGGTATTGATTGTTACGTCATTGGTCTGTGTGAGAAAATTACGTCGTTTTCCAAAAAAATTGATGACGTTTCTCTCACAAACAAGTGACGTAACAATCAATACCTGCTCCCAAGAGAAGATTACTCTGCAATACGCAAAGACGGAATATAACCATCTCTAACAAATACTTTTGCTGGACAAAACCCTTTATAGTAATAGCCTCATTTTATAACCATGGCTGATCATGAGATTCCCACCATAAAACAAATTACATTTTATATACAAAAGGTGTATACAAGTGATTAATGCTACTGGAATTGGCCAAAAGGTATCTTCTTGCCCCAGGAGACTTAGTCCCTGAGTCATGGCATGGAAACCGTCAAGACTTCATCCTTTAACTATAGATACAGTTGCTAGTCACTAAGACACAAATACAACCATGCTTCCAGAATTGGCTTGTTTTTAAAAGGATTGCTTTTCCAGAGGTAACTTTACTTAAACATCTCTGGTCATAATTATGAAAGAAATTAGTGGAGATTTTCACTCAGCCTAAATGAACAATCCAGTTCATTTACATGTAGAGTCAAATATATTGAGCATGGTGTTGTTCCACAGGTCATGCCAGGCCCTGGAGGTAAAGCCTAGGACTATGCCTTAGAAATAGATCAACATTATGGGACAAATACATTTTTGCTATCATGATCGCTCCTGGGTCCTGCTGGCCGAGACTGGTCCTTAGGTAGTACCTAGAAAACTGTTGGAATTCCTACCCTATAACAATATTATTGATTGTTTGACATGATAAGATGAAATCATTGTGCTATCAGGACTGACTCTTGAGCCTGCCTAGCCCCTCCTGCTTGGGACTTAGCACCTGGGTCATAACATACACCTTCTATACATATTACCTGGTATACAGATCTCAACCAAGTTTGCATGCTTGGGATCTTGGAATCAACAGTTGAAAGGGTGCAGATTGTCAATTGGCTAACTGAGGTTAAGATAACAAAAGAAACACAATCAGAATCAGCTTGATAGGCCTATTGTTTTATGTGATTACACAGAACAAAAATATCCTTTAAGCCATTATCTCGCCCACATATTTCCTAAGCTAATCAAACATATAACACTCGCTCAAGGTCCATGTATATTTCATGTTCTTTTCATGCAGATTTAGTTACCTTCTTTTTCACTGTCCTCTTGATTGAGTTGGCTGCAAATGTCAAATAAAATGATAAGGTTCTTGCTTACACAATAAGTTTCATTCTACAGCAAAAACTGAAATGACATAGCCATCCCCCGTGCTACTAATTCTAAACGGAGAAGTCTTTTTATCAACTGCAGCGTTCATTCAAACCTGCCAGTTGTTTACAGAGCTATATAAACAGTCTATAATACATTAACAAAATTACCCTTATTAAATTCATATTAATAACACAGCTATATATGTACCGAGTTGTATATATAATACCGTTATATACCTGTCAGTCAGTGCAAATTACAGTTACAGATATACAGAGGTTTATATATAATACTTTTATAAACCTCTCAGTTAGCATTATTATACAGCTACAGATACACGTGTCTATAATCCTTCTACAAACCTGCCAATCAGGGTTATCTCAGCATTGAAGAGTCTATGAGTTTTCAATATGATCATGTATAATGGCATGACTGCAATAACAATTTTACAGCAATTTATATATATGAATCTGTAAAGAGAAAAATGTTCAGACCATAACTTAAACTTGGAACCTTGGGGAAATGTAGCTAAATTTTCACCACGTTAAGACAACTTAAGGTGAGATGAGCAAATCACCACCATATCGATACAATTCTTTTTCAAATAATGAAAATCCTCAGTTTTTTGACAGTATAATTTTCTTACCGAGTAAGTTGAAATTTGTCAATGACATGCATCTTTTATACCCCCAAAATGAATAAAATGTTTCTAATTTCGCATAAATTGCGTTTTTAAAATTAAAAATGTTAAATTTGTGAGCAAAATTTATCCTATTAAAAGAGTAATAATTGTTCTCAACTAAGAAATACTACATAGTAGCATATTTACCTGCATAACGAGCTCTCCTCATCCAGCGTTTCTGATCAGTGTAATACATCATGTCTCCAAAAAAGCCGTAGGCAGTTATCACAGAGCCGTATCCTATTAACTCATCTGCACTATAATCAGCCACTATGGAAATCTTGCAGATATTTCCTGTGTGTTATAACAATCATATTTTGATAAAATAGCAACCAAGCCATACAAAAAATTATTTTGCAAGAAAAAGATATTCATGTGGAAGAATTTTATGTGTTTATGTGAAACAAACCACACTTAGAAAAATGAATTGCACTCACTGATTCAGTAAGACAAATCATAAGCGATACAAATTATATCAAGCCAGATAAATAGTACAGACAAATCATACAGTTCCTATGCTATATATTGCTGTTACCACAGATACAATGTATGTAAAAAAACTACTAGAAAAACATAAAGATGCCCACTTGAAACATGATAACATTGAAAGTTTAGTAATTTAAAAGTATCATTACCATTCAATTATAGGATACAACCCATGTAGGAGCAACCATAGCAGCTCTGTATACTTGTTTGATACAAGATTCAAAATCACCGATGAACACGTATTATGAAAAGTTCTATTTACACAACCAATAAGATTTTCTATGTGACGTTTCGATGACTAGTACGATATGTACACTGTCACCTTCATCAGACAAATGGCCAGAACTTCTGGTGCAAAAGATGGTGAGATTTGAAGTTTAGGTATTGGTTCGTATGGCTTTGTTTCTATAGACCAATACTTTTATGGTTCCGGTTTCTTCCTTTACCAGCAGAGTGTTTAGGAAGCGCATTGTGTCGGTGGTTTCTTCCACACATGTGATGTTGTTAGTGGCAACTATGATGTTGATATGTGTGGTCAAATTCTTCCGTGACCCCTTCTTGATTATTTCAAGTATGTCGTCAACATATCGTTTCCATAAGCCATGCTTGCATTCTATGGGAGCAGTGGCTATTGCTTCTTGTTCTAGATGTTCCATGAACAAATTGGCCACAATGGGAGACACTGGACTACCCATAGCAGTGCCGAAGTGTTGTTGATAGATGTTGTTTCGGAAACAAACTAAAATGTGTTGCTGTCACCACAAATTTCAGCAAATCCATGATGTCCTCAATCTGGAGGTTTGTGTTTTTGCGCCAAGTGTAATAGGGTATATATTTTGTATAGCAATTAATTATTACTTAATTATTATATGTGCTTATATACATATTGTAGGTATTAGGTTTTGGTATACATGATTTGTATTTGCATATGTTGTCTGGTGTGAAAGATGGTGCAAGGACCTTTAATGAATCTGCCTGTGTATGTGACATGTACTTACCTTTGTGTGCATGTGAGTGAGTGAGTGAGTTGTTATGACACCTGACTAAGGACGGGAAGTCAAAAATCTTTAGCTGGTACGTTTTGTTAAGTAGCTTTTTGTTCATCTAATATAACAGAAAATGTAGGGGATATACCATTTTTTGTAATTCAATTGTGGCTAAGAATTTTTTCTTTATTTTATCTAAAAGTAATTGGCATTTTGTCATTGAACAATTTCAAGGTCAAAGTGAAATTGAGTATGTAAAGATAGGTCTTTTTGTTAATTTAACTTTCTATGAATTGGCATTAAATTCATAATGGTCAAATTATTTATTAGGGATATTTATATCATTTTAGTGTAAAGCTACTGGTTGGACTTCGAACTGAACTTATTGAGAGGAATTGAGGGAAACCTTCACACCATAGCTGTGGGGGTCAGTGTTCAATAGGTCTAGAATGTTTTAATGAGTGTATATTACTATGTTTTTATCTATAGAATGTGTCTGGAATTTTAAAAGTGTATGAGTAATTTGCAATAGTAAAAGTATAGGTTTGATAGTAATTATATTTATGTAATTATTTAAAGAATTAATTTATAACCTTTTGGAAAAGATAACTGAATACATACATTCAAGTTACAGATTTAGAAATTAGTATATTAGTAATTATCATTGTATATGTACATTTGATAGGGTAAAATAGATATATGTTATATAATAGCATTTGTCGATAGAGTTATTTCCCTTTTACTATGTTATGTATGCAAGGATGTGATGTATGTTCGGTTGCATGTAAGATTTGTTGCATTTGTTTTGTCAACAGGGTTTTTAATAGTGGATTAATAAATGTAGCCAAAGAATACACCGGATCTTAGTTGTGATTGCGAACCCCGGTTAATTCTAAGCGTTTCCGAATCATAGTCGAATCTTAAAGACTCTTGCACATCTATGACCAAGTATTAAACAAATCGTAGCTGCATTGAGTCATTTCCGTACATATATAACAACTATTGCACATACGCTTACAGCATAGCTGAATCAGCATAGATTTTGTATCTTATTGGTTATGCAAGAACATTTCATGATCCATACTTACCAACCTAAAAAACAATGTTTAGAAACACTGATGAACTCTAAACAATGAGTATGAAATCGGTTTGTCTTTCAGTAATACACCTTGTATAATGCACAGAACATTTACAGAGCACCCCATCCCCCTTCCTCCATCTAGATTACTCTTGGGAAATAAGACGACTACACCCTATGTTCTCCATTCCAGTTACCCACTGTTCAAATATAATGATTCTGGGCCTTTTTAGTTTTCAACTAGAAATCATTACTGGTTAAATAAACAGCTGGAGACAGACCCTGTGATGATAAGTGCACATGGAAAAGTGGACCAAGTAGAATAAAAATGTAATTATGATTTTATATGATGGGCCAGCCTTCTTTCATGCATGTTGTAACTTTGTACCTTTGATGATGTGGAGGGCGGCAGTGACAACGTCGTAATTTCCATATTCAGTTACTGATAAACCATTTCCTGTTCCTGTAAAAAACAATGTCGGAAGCCCAAACTTTAATATGCTTGTATGGATATATGTAAAAGATGTATATGTGATAGCATCTTTTCTCTGCGTACAAGCTCGATCAAACTATGAAAGCTTTAAAGGTATTGGCTCATTGCTCAGTTATCACCTTAGGGTATCACACCTACTTTACAACAGGTACTCACCTGAAGGTATCACACCTACTTGACAACATGTTCTCACCTGAGAGTATCGCATCTACTAGACAACAGGTACTCACTTGAAGGTATTACACCTACTTGACAACAGGTACTCACCTGAAGGTATCACACCTACTTGACAACATGTACTCACCTTAAGGTTTCACACCTACTTGACAACAGGTACTCACCTGAAGGTCTGAAGGTATCACACCTACTTGACAACAGGTTTTCACCCGAGGGTATCACCCCTTCTTGACAACAGGTTTTCACCTGAGGGTATTACACCTACTAGACAACAAGTACTAACCTGAGGGTATTATGCCAATTGGTATGGTACAAGGAATAAAAGGTCCATTTATATCATTGAAGTTGTCTCCTGCCTTGTCATGGGAAATCCTAAGTAGTCTGTTAAGCACCTCAGAAAATGAGCCGTCTCCTCCAAAAATTACTATACTGGAATAAAAAGAAATGATGGACATACTTGATTATATATATTTTGTGAGACATAAGAGGCGATCACAAATTTTAAGGATATTCCAACATTTCATTTTGAAACATTAAAACAAAAAAAAACAATCAAGTTACATTATTAATCATTATATATATGTAAAAACAACTTTATTTTAGCCAAACAAAAAATGCTAACAATTTAGACACATTCAAAATGTAATCAACTTAAGCTAAACAAAACAAAACATTACATGCCTCAATGTTCAATTTTCCTGATCCAGGCAATGCTGTCTGTTTCTTATTGATGAACTAAGATAAGCTTGCCGAGATTTTGTAAATCACTCCGACCATAAGTGTGGGGGATCCTTGGCTTTTAATGGCATTCAGCAAAGTTTATTTGTTAACCAGGAGCTCTAAGATCTAAGTAATGTTTGTAAGTAATTGTCATTAATGTAGTATTTAGATACAATACAGGAGCATAGGAAACATACCCGTCCACTGTTGAAAAATCGTACTCTGTTACCATCTCCTCAAAGTGTTTCGCTCTTTCTGATACTAGAATAAAGAATTATATTATTTCAATTATGTTAGTAACTTAATGTTTCCTAAGACTCACACATCATTTTAACTACATTGCACACTGATTTCTTTTCTCTTATAATGTTGTCTTCCTTTAAGATTTTGATCTATCGCTTCGGGAAAGTTTTGTGTGAACATTTTTCTCGGTGTTTACATTCATATATAATACAAACATAAATCTCATAGCAAGAACATTGCCAAAATGCAGCCCAATATATGCAGTAACAATTATGTTGTATGAAAAACTCTCAAATTGTGACATATTGTGAATGCCATATTTGCTAATGTCTATGTAGATGAATAAGTACTGAAAGGTTGGATCATTTTTGCTGATGATCTTTTAGGATGGGTATCACTTGAATTTTAGAATCTTCAAAGTATTCAAGGTATGGAATTATTCTCATTGGCAAAATTGCTGTAATTGTGTATTTTTGGGTATGTAGTTAACATGTTTGCATGTTCATAAGTACATTAGCTAACTAAGCAGATGTGGAATACGGGCGCCGTGAAAATTCACAGAGCTTGAAAATTAAACAGATGTTAAGTACACTGACATCAACAATTACCTAACATTATAATTTAAGGTGTAGTATATCTAGGTAAAAGGTACAAGTTAAAATATATTATTACCATTAACACTTTAATGAAATGTTTAAATCCTTTTTATACAAAAATATACACAAATCACCTGTTGCAATGCATTTTGCAAAATTATATATATATTTGTTCAAAATTTGAAAATAGAAATAAGAAGAAAAAGAACTATAGAGGTCAAAGTTAAGCAGGGCCTTACACTGCAAATCATACAGTTCATCAACCTTGCTAACCAGGAATTACAAATGCAAAGCATAAAAATGAGAGCCTGACTTATGGGCTGCAAAGCCGGAAGGAAACAAATAAGTATCTTATTCTGAGTCAGAAAAAAACTCTACTTTTGGTTGATATATCTTCTTTATATAAAGCAGAATACTCAAAGTGGAACTTTTATTCATAATTATAACTAATGCAGTAATATCCTATTTCTCAGATTTATTAGACAACTAGTCTCCTACCTTTGACATCACAGGTGATTCCAGCCCGTTCAAACATTGGCAATATTCGTTTAGAGTTGCTTTGTCCATATCTGCCGCCACTAATTGGGTTCACCAGCACAAGAAAACGCTTGGGGCGCTGGTCATACACTGTCAGATATAAAATAAATAAGGCAAACTACTCCTGCGAAAAAAATCTTTTAGATACATGATATTGCCATCCCATGATATCCATTATACACATTTTGGTAACTCTTGATGGAAAAAAAGGCAGAATTTCTAATTATTAGGGTCATATGCATAGCTGTCAACTCTCCCTCATTAGGAGGAATATTTACTCATTTTGACAAAAAAAATACCAATCTCCCTCGCCCCATCAAATGATTGACATCCTGTGGTTAAATGACCTCCTAGCTACTGTAGGTAGAGTGTTATGATCATAAAAGGTTTGTCTTAATCAAATAAATGCTTTTTGGAGTTATTTTAAAAAATAAAAAGGGGAAAATAAATGGAGCAAAGCATTTTCTGTCCTTTCTCTCTGGTTTAAAATGTGGAATGAGGGAAATCTCCCTCATTGGAAATTTCAGAGGTTGACAACTAAGCATAGGTATAGATATAGGTCACAGTGATCTACTGTTGATACACATCACTCTTCCATACCAAGTAAATATTCTTCTGTGTACCTGTGTAACTAATTCAGTAACTCTAGGTAATTTGTGACCATAACACCTTATTGAAGATATGCTCTAGACAAACAGTTTCAGTTAGTGTTAATTATATCCAGATAATAATAGAATAAATATAGACAGACATTTTGATATTTTTTTTCCAAAACGTTTCAACATATTATTTTTAAATGTTGGATAAAATTAATTGCTATCTATTCATAATTGCAGATAATACGTAATAGGAAGAAATAGTGAATAGGATATGTCATTATGTTACGCGTAGTTTTGGAATATTCAGGGTACCCATTTGGCCAATTGTGTGACTACAGAGGGTCATCATGCAGACAGTTTCGGGTGCCTCGTAACGGTTTCGGTTGTTATGAAAAGCCAATATGCACGCACACATGATGGAAGCACATGGAAGTTTCGACGCGTATCCTTGCAGGTCGGGGATCGAGAAAAGAATACACAAAGAACCCACTGCATGTATCATAAGAGGTTGGGGATTTGCGTTTGTGCCCTTTATTCAGGGACACAAAAAGCGACCAAAATAAATCTGCTGCATTCATTGCAATATTTGAGATCTTTATCTTTCTTTCCATTTCTAACAACCTTTTATTTCTTAGCGCCTTGCTTTGCAACACCTCACTTTTGGCCTTAATGTTAATGTTTAGCGTTCTACCAGGCGAGGAAGGCAATGGGTTCTGTCCCCAGGCCGGGACGTACCAAAGTCCTTAAACATGGTAGTTGTTATTCCCTGCTCAACGTTCAGCATTTAGGGTAATGGCAACAACTGGTTTAGCCGTTGTCATTATCATGTGACCCGGTGGAATGCTGTGATGGGTGCCTTCAGTTCGGCATGGTATTTCAGTGAGATAGCACTATAAAGTTGGCATCAGATCTGCGCCATCACACGGAGGAAGTTCACCAACATACCCTGTCCCCGGCATGCATACAAACATGCATGCATACACAACACACAAGGAGGCATGTCCTAAATGACCTCAGAAGTTAATAGTTGTAAAGTGACCAGAATGATTAATATGGGATTTAGCAGGAGAATATTAATGTTTTCTTCATTATAACTTCAGGATTTAGCATCTGTAAACAGTAATGTGAGGCCTGTGTGGCTGGAGGGGGATGCCTTGCCCGATGCCTGTCTGTGGGACAAAGATGATCAAAACATAGCATGGAATGCTCAGAGATTGGTCTGCCATTCATGCAAAGGCCGTGGAACTGCTAAGCTGCCCCCTACGTAGATTCCATGAACTTAATACAGAACCAAGTAATCATGTCAGACGTCTACATGGGCAAGCAGACTTAGCCGGAAGCTGGCGGGGGCTCGAATTGTAGTTTTAGGACTTGCTCCTTAGCTACATATATATACAACTCAGACCTACTGTACTTACCTTTCTGGAAGTGTAACTGTAGATCTGAGATGAATTGCTGACACTCCAACACCTGTCCAGTTATGCACAATGTGGCCTGTTTCCATATCAACTTCTTCCGTGTGATGTAGTGTACCTTACACAGCCATTTTGGTTTTGCAGATTTTGATTGGTCAGTGGAGGCATTCAGCGCAACGTCATTTTTCTCAATTTCTATGACGTCATTTAATGCTATGGTGGATTCTGCATATTATACAAAATGGTTTAGATATTATCGTATTGTCCTCTTAATGAAAAGCAATAAGAACTTACGTCATACATGTATTTTACAAGCACTTAAAAAGAATCACGTATTTCCTCAAAGATTGAAATCACTTACAAACTATCAGTTTTACACGACGAAATCAAGACATTGATTGTATCATGGTTTGCAACATTATATTAAAATTGAGAAATAAACAGAAATCTAATCAAACGTGTCGTTATAATCAGTAATCAGACACATGAGTTAAATGTCAATTGACATCATATGGGTGTTTAGGACACACCTAAGGAATAAACACCACCTTTAGTCTGTCTAGCATTTATCCCAAGAAATATTTATATTGTGTATATATATACTAAGCTAAATGGTCAAAGCATATAATATACAGTACCTTAGATTTATTGATATACATCATGTAGTGGGTGTTTTCATAACATGTGTACACGATTACTCCCCGTGCGTCAAACAGTGGAAAAACAATTCGTCGCTTTTATTACGCCCCGTGAAAGGTTGACATGTAGACAGGTTTTACTGACTAGATCAATTGGTATGTGATACTGTATACATGTTAAGTGTACTTTAATGTTGTTACAGTTCATACCTTTCGGTTTCCGGCCCTGAATAACAATCCGAAGCTCCTGTTCGCTGACAGTGCACTCTGTTATCTTACCATCAACAGTCAGAACATTCGGCATTGTAATGTACCTGTATTCTGTGTCAACTAGGAAACCATTTGTTCCTAGCTAGTATGTCACGAGCTACACCGTTTTGGAGCTATTTATAAAAAGTGAACTTGGGTAAACACCAAATTCATGAAAGATTAAAGATCCTTGCGCGGTGTAATCTTTGTCGACGTCTCGGTCAGTTTGTCGCCATGAACGCGATGAAATGTTTGTCCTTTAGGCCTATCGATTTTCAGTCTTCAGTTGTCTGACTGTGATTATTTTACTCTATATCCTCTGAGCACTTCCGTAATTGAAATATTTTATGGGCCTGTATCGCTCGCCTGCTATTCCATCTGAACTGTTGGTAAACATCTGTGACCTTTAGAGTGAGTCATGGTCAAATTTATTGAAGCACTCCCATGTAGACCACATGTACTTGCCTCGTCTGTCAATACACCCATAATATACACGTGTATATTATGAGTATTTAAAATTAGCACCATCTCTATAAAATTTAATTTATAACGAAAATAATTGATCTCTCCGATGCATGCGTCTGATTGAGATAAGGAACTATAGCATATAACGTTTATAATATAGGTGTATTGACAGACGAGGTTACACTGTAGTATAACTGCGATTGAGTGAATACCGGAGAGGTAAGCTGCAATGCAGCTTGACAATTACGTCTTAACGCTGAAGGGGATGTGGGTTATTTTTGCAGAATTCCTACATAAAAGTATCAAGACAGATATACCAGTGAGCAGATATAAGCCAGGCAGGAGTAGGAAACTGTGGATGGATGAGAAAGTTTTCAATTCAACCAAAGCGAAAAAAGAGCATGGTATAGATTCAAAGGGAACAAAATGTGGACAAACTATGTAGCTTACATCACAAAAGGAAACAACACTAACAGGATCAAGAGACATACGAACAAGGTGGCAACGGAGAGCAAAACCAACCCAAAATGTTTTGCGCACTTCGTGAAGATTAAAACCAAACCCCAATCCGGGATACCTTCAATTGAATTGAGTAACGGAGACACAAGAACCACAGACGGAGAAATAGCCATAGCACTTAATTACTTCTTCACAAGTGTCTTCACTAAGGAGGATCTTAGAAATATCCCATAACTTGATCCCCCCATAAGTACTTTGGAAGATTTCGTCATTACCGAAGACACTTTATCCAAACAACTACTCAAATCTGATCCAACAAAATAACCGGGACGGTTAACATTCACTCAATTGTGCTCAAAGAGACAGAATCAACCATTCCGGAACCCTTATCAATCATCTACAACAAATCTTTGGAAGAAGGAACAATACCCCTTTGGAAATTTGCTAATACCACGCCAATACACGAAAAAGGAAATAAAAAATTATCTCAAAATTACAGACCAATCAGCCTCACCAGCAGAGTTCGTAAAACATGGAATCAATTATCAGGGACGAAGTCATGGGACATATAGAAGGAAATAATCTGCTGAGCAAACACCAGTACGGATTTAGACCAGGACAATGAACAGTGCTACAACTGCTTGACGTGATGGACGAAATAAAAAAATAATACTAGACAGTGGAGAACCGGACGACTCATCAAAAACTATTATTGAAATTAGAAGCATTGGGCATAGAAGAAAAAATACTAAAGTGGATCAAGACCTTCCTTCATAATAGAACACAAAGTGTTGTTATCAACGGTAAAAAGGCATCCTGGACAGAAGTTACAAGTGGGGTCCCATAAGGGAGCGTCCCGGGACCAGTATTATTTCTAGCATACATCAATGATATGCCAGATGCAATACATGCACTTATCGAACTTTTTGCAGATGACAGTAAAATATTCAACAAAATTGGCACAGCAGAAGACAGAAACGGAATTCAAACGGATCTGAACAAAATGAAAGAGTGGTCAAAACAATGGCAATTGGAATTCAACATCTGCAAATGCAAACGTTTACATTTTGGACAAAATAATGAGAAAAAATATATTTATTTGAAGAAGATATAACGCAATCGGACGAAGAAAAAGATCTCGGAGTGTTAACTTACACAACATTAAAATTCAGTACACATGTTGGAAATTCTGTCAAGAAAGCTAATCGATTAACGGGACTGATCAAAAGAACATTCAAACATATGGAGAGAGACATGTTCCTCCCTCTGTATAAATCATTAATTCGACCACATATGGAATACGCAGTGAGAGTGTAGAACCAAATGTATAATAGAGATAATGTCATGATAGAAAAAGTACTACGGAGAGCAATCCAGAAAGATTGAAATATATTTGAATTCCATCCCTACAATATCGGAGAAAAAGAGCAGACATGATACAAACGTTCCGAATAGTGAAAGGAATTGACAAACTTGAAAAGGATGATTGATTTGTTTTCAACATGGAAACTGATTGCAGAACAAGGGCACATAGCTACAAAATCAAAAACCACAAAGTAGACTAAACATTCGAACCCACAGCTTCAACGTGAGAATAATCAATGATTGGAACAATCTGCCAGGGGAGCTAGTAAACAGTGAAACGGTCATTCAATTCAAAAGTAGGTTGAACAGGCATTGGAAAGACTTACCAATACAGTTTAACCCAACGTGCATGTGAGCTACGTATATATACTACAAATTGATCAGTGACAGCAAATAAGTTGGTAAAGAACAAAAAGAAAAAAACACCTGATAGCATAAGAGAAAACGTGTACAAGTGGTGAACATCTTTTAAAACTGTAAATAGCGAACTCCAAGGAATACATTCCAACATGAGAAGAGGAAAATAAACTGTACAGTTAATCTAAAGGAGTTCGGTGTAAATAGTTTTATCTCCGGAGACCACAACCTATTATAACCTATATATGTAATCATGATCAACGAAGAAAAGAAAAACTGAGAATGCGTAACAATAATAAGAAGAAAAAATTGAGGTGGTCAAGAGACGAACACGTCTATTAACAGACCGTAACCAGGTAGAACCAGGTAGGTAGAGGACCATGGTATGTCTGTCTAACAGGCTTGTGGATTATTTATTATTCATCTGTGACCTTCACAATTGGCGAAGGTCATTTGTTTGAACAAACCAGATAGACGTTTAAAACCAAATATTACTACAGCTACATGTAGACCTTGGTCACATCACGGAATTAGATTAGATCCGTGGTGACATTTATAGATTATTTCACCGCAAATTCGACACATATGACAGATAAAATCGGTCATTCACTTTTATTTGGACTAAATTGATGGCCTTAATTCAAACCAGCAAGCTACAGAGAAGATTTCCTGGGATTTCAGATGTGATTTCAAGATTTTGAAACACTTATACCACCCCTGATAGTCACCTTAATGAAGATAAAGTGGGTCAAGATAATTTATTCGAATACCTCTGATGTAACTCCTTAGTCCCACAAGGTATAGAACAAATATAGTTTTTATATATCTTGTAGGTTTTTAGAACAAACCGCGTTTCAAGGTCTCAATGTTATTAGACTTAAACCTGATGAAATAATTGCAGTAATCACATTCTTATAATGTGTTTGCGTTGTATACGCTCGCATGAATGCGGGAAAATGTGAAACAACAACAACAACAACATCAAACAAACATACAAACAAACAAGGCGTGACTTAGGTAGTTTTTTGGTTAACTATGTATGGAAACGGCAGCTAATTTTATAAAACAAAAAATGAAAATTGTAAGTACATATTTGACGCCTTTGCCTAAAACCGCATAATTAGAGTATATCTAAGTTCGTGCTCAACCCAAGCGAGGCACAATAGATTAATATCAGAATACTCTTACAGTAAGACATACAAAATGCCTTAATAAGGCTATATGAATTATCTATCATGAACTGGGTCACAAGTTGTAAATATATAATCTGCGAGTTGAACTTTATATCTATTAACAAATGAATCACATCATATATGTGTGTGGTGGATGTATCATTGATTACAGTAGAATATATACTCGGTAAAAGTGTACTTTAACTGCACCTAGCAACCTAGCTTCTGTTCTACTTGACCGTGTACAACAGCAGTATGAGTCCATCAATGTTTTTAAATCACAGAACAGATATTAATTAGATATATGTGTGTATATATATATATACGGCACGCGTATCTTTAATTCTTACCCTTTGCACTTTTCATAAATTATCTGATGGAGAATATGCTTAGTTAGATAGGTCAGATTGTTGACGAGTCGTCACAGATTTACACTGCCGTACATGTCAGTGACCTCAGTGATCTACAGCAGAACAAACAATGCCAAATGTTCTGTCTGTTGATGGTGAGGTAGCAGATTGTACTGTCAACGAACGAGAGCTACGGATTACTACCCTGGGTCGAGAGCAGAAAGGTTAGTATCGCAAATAGCATGCAGTGTATAAATAGCCACGGCTCACTGTGTGTAATGAGGTATAACGAGTTAAGGTTTGCTGTTGGACGCACGGTGAATAATCGGGTACACGGTGTTATAGTTATCTATCTAAACCAAGCGCTAAGTCATCGCTAAGGTCAGTGTTCGTTATATGCGTATATTTGTCAGTCTTTTTTTGTTTCGCAATCTGTTGTTAGATTGATTATAAAATGTTAGAAGGGGAAAAACATATGCCAGTGTGTCAATATGCAAAATAATAGAAAAGCACCATGAGTTGAGCTTACATGAAGTGAACAGGGAAGTATAAGAGACATCAAAACACGATTGAAAACATCACGAAATTTCCACTTTGTGTTATTTGGTCTTTCTCATCATGGATTTGAGATAGATTGATTTTTTTGTATTTAATAATCAAATTAAAAATAAAAATGAACAATACTTTGTTAATTGATTGAAACAATTGTAATCGGGAGAACATTTCTATTGTTTGGATGGTAAAACTGCTACAACCCTAGCACGATTTATGTATATTTTTGCATTCTGTTTATTAAATGTGACGTGCATCATTTTTCGAAGAAATATTAAATGTCTTTGTATTATTGGAAACATTTTTTGACTGACACATAATATTAAAATATACTTAATATAACATGGTAGAAACTACCGCAACACTAGACGACGTCATAAGAATAGAGACGAATGCCATTGAGCTGAATGCCTCCACTGACCAATCAAAATCTACAAAACCAAAATGGCTGTGTAAGGTACACTACATCACACGGAAGAAGTTGATATGGAAACAGGCCACATTGTGTATAACTGGACAGGTGTTGGAGTGTCAGCAATTCGTCTCAGATCTACAGTTACACTTCCAGAAAGGTAAGTACAGTCTCTTTATGAAACCTGTTATAATTACATTAATAATCATGAAGGCTAACTAACAAATATTCATATACTGTTATCATGAAGGACTCACATGTTCAAATTTTTACTGGTTTCTCGACGTAAGAATTAGTAGTTTCTTCCCGAGGTCGCTCTTTGGTGGTAGTCGGTGTTTCCAATTGGAGAGGAATCAAACAATGTAAACTGTATTATTTGTTATCATCACTTCACAGTGTATGACCAGCGACCTAAACGTCTCTTGGTGCTAGTAAACCCAACAAGTGGCGGCAGATATGGACATAGCAACTGGAGGAAAGTACTACCTTTGTTTGAACTCGCACACATTACCTGTGACGTCAAAGGTAGGGGAATGGGCATCACATCTTACTTGTTTATAACATTGAAAGCAAATTTCAGCAATTATTTTTAATTTTTAGGCCATATGATTATGTCTACTATAATCGGATGTCCTCAAATTAGTTGTGGGTATAGTCAGATTTTAGTGATTAATACAAGTTGATAAAATCTGCTTAAAATTGTTGAATGATAGAAACAGATATATTTCACAAAAGTAAAGTCAACATGGACTCCAACAAAATGGATGAAAACACTGTAAAATTAAATAAAAGCGGCAGTAACGAGTAGGTCACCAACGATCTAGGTAAGAAGTGTTGAATCATGGAAGGTACTAAAATATCAGGTAATGATGACTATTGTTCACTATGTTAAACATAGAAAAGCATGGGGTTGTGTAAAATCATGGGATATTAATTGACTGGTAAATAAGTGACATCAACATAGAAACTATGGCGGTTTTAATTACTGGTAAACAAGAGGCGGCGTCAACGTTGTAAAGTAGAGCGTGGTAATGATGATGATGTTATGGCGTTTGTATGCTTACATTAGCTTTAATTGAAATGATGTAAGTGTCATGCTTAGAACGGAAATCGAAATAATTGAAATCTCATTCTAGTATCGGAAAGAGAAAAACACATGGAGGAGATAGTAACAGAGTACGACTTATCTACCGTGGATGGGTAAGTATGTTTCACTGGTCTCTGCAGCTTGTCCATCTCATGAATACACTGTAAAAAATATTTTTTTTCGCGAGAGATTCATTTTCTGGTTTATTCAAGAGATTATTCAATCCTGAATTTAAATCTTCAACCATGATTTCAAATTCAGAGATATTGCTACCAATAAAATAACATTCGCACAATTTAACTTTTTTTCTTCTTCTGGGGTCTACATGAATCATATTAGCTGTGTTTTATATTTCACGCAAAAACTGCTAACTAGCCCTTTGCTTTTATGTCGGTTTTTACATAAGCGAATGCACAAGGGGAATTGGTGGGAATGTAGATTTCGCGGATAATGTTCGCAAATAGAGCGAAGAAAGCCTTTCGCGAAATAGAAGCACTATACAGAAACATTCACATGTGGTCATTACTTTATATTCATGTTATCCATTTTACCAGCATAGTTGTTTTTGGCGGAGATGGGTCCGTTTCTGAGGTGCTCAATAGGGTTCTCAGGATAACAAATGACAAGGCAGGGCTCAACTACAATGAGATGGATGGTCCCTTTACTGCTAATACCATACCTATCGGTACGATACCCTCTGGTGAGTACCAGTTGTCCCATCGGTACCAGATGCCTATTGGTGTGATGCTTTCTGTTGAGTTTCCATTGTCCCATTGGGACGATGACAACCTCCAATCAATATCAGTTGTCCCATCCAATAGGCTGACAATGGGGCATGTAAAGGACACACTTAGACCCTTTCATGAAATGTGGTCATATTGCTAGCCAAAACAAAATCAACATTCTTACTGCAAACCTATATTTTTCACAAGTTGAAGATTATTTCCACAACATCATTAAATCTTAGCCTCGTTCCGCTAGAGAGAAAAAATCCACTCTGACCTCAGAACATATCATTAGACATTTTTGAATATTACGTTTTTACTTTACTTTCAATCCAGTTTACCTTCAATTAAATAAAATAAAAAAATAAAAATACTCGTATTACAGAAGAAGCATAAAGACTTAAATACAATATATTCCAATTCATTTCATTTCCTTGCAAATGATTAAGATATTCATGACAAAAATTCGTGACATCGCCTATTAAAAAATGCACGAATAGTTATTTTTCTGCTCGAAGTACGAAATTTCTTATGTATATATCTAATTTGTACGCATCCTTGGGATTCCAGGAACTACACGCACGTTCTGTGCGGAGAACGTTACTGACAGTAACCCTTGACATATCCAGGATTATATTGATAAGAACGGTCTCTGTTGATAAGAACGTATAATTTACAAATTTATTAAATATCTACAAAATAATTTATATAAATGTTGATAATCTTCTCTGTATTTTTTTAAGGTACAGGGAACGGCATGGCAGCCGGTTTATATGGAAATCACGACATCGTCACAGCAGCTCTACACATTATTAAAGGTACGGAAAAAGTACAAACTGTACGCATAACAGAACATCTGATATTTACAAGATATTGGAATTGTCTAGTGTTTGATATTGTAGAGAGGTTAATCAGCTATTTTGACATATAGAGACCATCTGAAGGAGGTCCATAAAGCGGTTTCTTGTTACAGCTGGTCTCCTATTGCAAGTCTAATGAACACGACAATAACTGCAATAGGGAGTTTCCTATTAGTATAAGTATTGTCTGAATCGAGATGGTCGCTCTAGCAAATTGCCTGTTCAATGTTTTGCCTGATAAATGCAATGCCGTCATTGAAATCTAGATTTACAGTTTTTCATTTTCACGAGACAAGACAACAACAAAAAGGTACTATAAAATTTAGCCGTTGATCACTGCACTGTGGTGTGTGTTATATGTCCATGTTCCTCCAATCAATATTCTTCACACAGTGTTAGAATCAAATCGTTTCTTCAAAGTCGCTCTTTTCCTTTCTGTCTTTCCCCTTCTTCAATGACTACGATAACTCTATAGACCTTTATAGCATTTTGTTTAACGTATGTGTCTTTACTCAAATCTTATTTTAGAAAAAGGGCCTCGACAAGATTTGTGAACTTTTGCCCAATCCAATTGCATTTCATGGATATAAGATATGTCTGAACTAAACTAAGAACGGAAATACATACTTTGAGAGGTAAACACAACCCTGTGCGCTTGTTATATATATTTTTCTGGGATGGGATAATTAATGCTGCAACAACAGATCTGATGATATTGTGTAATTTTTCATTCATTTTAAAACCAGAGTGCTTTCAATGTTAAGAATCTACATGCTTCTACACCCAACAAAACCACTGTTGACTCGTATACTATTTCGTTTATGTAGTTATGTTGAGCAGATATTCGCATGCTTGTTGATTTTAAAATCTGAAGTTATTGCCCCTGAAGATTCATAGCACTACCATGGGTGGTGATTAGCTGAGGGAATCCGCTGACAAATTAACGGCATACATTGCGGCGTGGTTTTGACGTTAACATATTACGGAAGGCATCTCTCTACAAAACGGCATTCTAAATATCAAGACTGGAATATCTGTTAAAAAAATCGATTAGTTAATTAAATGATAGCATTGAAATGAACACGTGCATAGAATGTTATTTAATGATAAAATAGATACAAGAAATAGACAAGGCTTCTTTACTGTCTAGAAACTTTTTAACAAGATAATCCGAATTTTACCCTGTTCACAACACCATATTTGAAACATTTTGACAGAGAGCTGTTTATGGTGGGCCCACACCAGACATTTGCACGTCAGGAATTCCCAAATATGATATTTGGCCAGACATGTATGGAAGTTCTATCGTATTGTTCTGTGAAAGTAGCAATGCGTTTGGTAGTATTTTGTGCATTTTACATGTATCATCTAAAATATCAAATGTGTGGTAGACCAATGAAAAAAACGTCCTTGAAATCAACAAGATAGTTTAAGAAATTTGACAACATACATTGTTGTCGATGTATCAAACATGCAGAATTGCCAAAACATTTGCACCACCCCTCTGAGGTATTTTAGCGATCACAAACAACGCTGTCAAATATTACTCCCCCACACACATTGTTGACGATGTTACCACGGATACATGGCACTTCCCAGAGTACAAAAATATAAATCCAAAGAAGTTGAATAATGCTAATTATTATTGCTAAACGGTCTTTGGTGTTGTATTTTTGTTTTGTTTGTTTTTAATCTTGAAGGGAACACCCGAATGCTTCCCCTAATGGCGGAGTACAGCAGTAACGAGTTGTTAGGGTATTCCTCGGCGGTAACTGCCTACGGCCTCTTTACAGACATGATGTACTACACCGACCAGAAACGCTGGATGGGGAGAGCGCGTTATGCAAGTAGGACCTACTTTACAATAGAACAATATTTTGCAAACATATGCGCTAAAATGCTGTTTTAATACACTGTGGATGAAAGAGATATCTTAACAAATTTAAAATGAGCTTACCGTCAATTTTGTCGGATGCTTATACATTCAAAACGAATCATTATTGACGAATCATACTTTAATACATTTCGCAATCTTGCTTGCTTATTATTTGCATATGTGTTCTTCATTTCAGTAATGCCCCTGTACATTCTATTGTGGAAAACGCAAAGACTCTTTAACGCTGAAATAACAATCAGGACCAGGTTCGTAAACTTCGTGTGATTTCGGGTCAGGATATTCATAATACAGCAACGAATGAAGGGGTAGTACTGGTGGTGTTGTACAAGACAATAATTTCGTTTTATGCATGTTTGAGTGAGTACGTTTACAGTCGACATGTAATAAAGAAGATATTGTTAACATAGTCTAGGCAACAGAGCCCATTTTTTCACGCAAATATCCATTAATATGATAATACGGTTTAATTTGCGACCTAACAAAGACTTTAAACTTTTATTGTAGTTTGCCTTGCATCTCAAATGAGGAGAAACATAGAACGCTCGGTAGTGCGTTGTTTACTGGCCAAACAGTGACTTTTGTCTTTCTAACTCAACCTCAGTAGAGGTGATTACAATATGGCCAGGTTTAGGTTATATAATTTATTGCTGTATAATGAAGTTGAAGAGTTAGCTAATGTTTCACTTGCAGTGGGATAGGAATAGAACACATCAAAGCTTGCTTCTTGTGTAAATACGTGATAGCAGAATATGATATTAAATATTCATAATTTGAAACAATCACCAGGAGTTTACTGTCAGTCTTCTTCAACTGTTCGGAAAAGTAACTGTAGTGTCAATATCGTATTGGGTTTTTTATCAATTCATAAAAGTAAAAGAGGATATACATTGTATTAGCGATATGTACATATATGCGTATGTGGAATCATAGTTTGACATGGAATTGAAATATTGGACAACATTACAATTTGGATCGAGGTCTTATCTGATCACGAGGCTTGGTCACATTGTTTGATTTTTAGATGCTACACATTGACGCGTTATAGCACAATATAAAAATAACACAGTGTCTTAAACCTCAATGCTTATACGAGAAGACGGGAACCGTGAAAACAGTCAGATAACATGAAATCCAAGAAAGCAACTAACCGGAAGTCTGTTTTTTTCCGAAGTCTAAACAGTTTCAGTTTCTCTAGTGCGATACAAATGTTGTCTTATGGCCATTTTCAGTACAGTATGTCGGTCACCAACAGCCTAAGTAGCCCGAGTTTCTCTGGCCCATAACACCAGACTCAGAAATTTTTACAGATAGATGTATGGTCTAAATCTGGTGCCCGGGCCAGAGGAAACTCGTGCTACAGTCTAAGACACGATGAACGTGTTTTTTGTCATCAATCTGGACACTGATATCCCTTAGTTTGTAACCTGATAATGATGATGACCTAACATAAGATAAGATATGTTTCTGCGAAACACACCGTATATATCCCGGACATCCTGATACTTTAAACAGGCTCTTGAGTCAGCTTTGACATGTAATCTTCATAAGCTTGTTTTCTTTATGATTTTTTTAGGCAAAAGAAACAAGCTGACGACGAAGAAGAAACTGAAGTGGAAGGTATCTACATTTGTGGCCAATTAGACAGCACCATGCATTAGGTCGCTGGAAGAGTAATATCATAATTATATTCACTGCATTCGGTCTGAATATAATCCGCGAAATCCCAGGAACTATATTTACAAATAAAATTGTCACGCTTACCGTAAAGCTGGTTAATAACCTGTTCTTGTTGACAAGGTTGTAAGTAGGACGTTGATGAAGAAAAAGTCCGTAGTGTCTTTGAAATCAAGTTCAAGAGGGTACATACCATCGACGTGGTAAATACATTTCTAGTTATATGAAGACAACAAATAACCGATATATCGGAGTCGAAAAGTTAGTATTTTGCAAAGTTTTGTTTACAGATTCTTATCCAAAATGTAAAAATTAATGTAACCTTACTTTTCGAACCAGGAAGAAATAGTTAACATATCCTTGTCTATGTTTGTCGTTTGAGTGAGCAGTTGAATATTTAGGTGCCAATTGAACGTTAAATGATAGTATTACATGTAAGTCTAAGCTAGAGATGTTATTGTAACAAATGAAAACTTAAACGGGAGTTTCGGATATGCACTGCGTGTTTACAAATGTATTTGCCACATATCGAGTCGCATAGAATATTTCGAGCACATCATCAAATAATTGACCTGTTTTATCCCATAGCATGATTTGTGAGGCGAATAAACAGATACAAGTTTTGCTTTAGTAATTACATGTTGTTTTGGCATCATCAATGGACACGATCTGGCAATGACCTTCGCAATTTTGATAAAACCCAAATTTACCAATCACAACTCAAATGAGATGTATCTGAATAGATTGGAAATGCATATCATATGTTAGAAAACTGAAACCAGACGTCTGGTCAAACTTTATTTCGTAGCATTTAACATTGCAGAACCAGCAATGAACAAGCGAGTTATGTTTACATCATCAGTATATTTTAATTATGCCGTATTAAGTCGGAGTAGGCAAAGTTAAATACCGCTTAGCTAATCATAATTCTGTCTTTGAATGATAAATTGTGAAAATGAAATGAATATCTTTCGATATTACGTCAAGTATGTCTTTTGTTTCAGAAAAGCTTGATGGAGAGTTCACTACTGTAGGATTCTTCCCTGGACAGGTGTTTGGATTAACAACTGGACAAATGGTCGCTTTGATATATCGACAGACTCCCAGATTAGATTTTTTGCGAATGATATCTTATCAATTTACACAGCAGCTTCCAAGGGTCAGTTTTCCTATTTTTCATAAAAAAAATACCAGGCTAAACCGAATTTGGCGAAATTTATAAAGTATTTAATAAAAGGAAAACAAAATATCGGCATTACACAAGAAAGAAAACGGAAAAATCAACAAAACTCGAAAATACATCAAAACAAGGACGAGACATCATAAAATCTCGTTACATTGCTATATCCTACTAATGAACGTGGGTATTATGCAAAATATCGAATGAATATACTAGCATTGGTTATAAAAGTTCGGTTTAAAGAGGGCCGATTGTATAATTTTCTGGGTTTTTTTTCATCACAGAAATAAGGGGAAATTCAGTATGACAAAAGTAGCATTTTCACTGCAGTAGTTTCAGATTTTTTTTTTATTACTTAAGACGGACTGTAAACTATATCTTCATGTGAAATCTGAAGGATTCTTCGAATATTCACTATATTTTGTTTCAGTTCATCCTACCACTTTACAGTAGCTATCGTTATTTATGCTTTCCTTTTTTACTGTGAATTTGGTTAAACTTAAGATACTTTTTATGATTAAATTTAAATGAAGCTTTGTATACAACTTGGGTTTGACCTAGATTTACCTGCCGGGTTTCGTCGATGAAGAACAAGACACTTTCCTTTTCCGGAACACCTGGTGTTTGTCTAACTTTTCGTTTCCTTCTGTCTTGATATAATGTATAATGTCTTATATCACAAAATCAAATTTGTGATAATTTACTATACGCCAAAATATAACGTTTAAAAGTAAAACGCTGCCTCTTAATTTGGTCAACTGATAAATCTAGATAACCTTGGTCCTGTGTCGTTCGTATAATAAGGAAATTTCAACTTCCTTTTTGTAGGAAGAGGATTTTCCTACAGTTACAATACGTCAACCTTCAAGTCTCAGGATAAAGGTTAATCCAAAGGATTTAGGGGACGAGAATTGCCTTAATTACATGATGCACATTGACGGAGAAATACACACCATGAAAGAGGCCGATGTGACAATTAAGTAAGTGTTAAATGCACTATAATATCATTCATTCAAACAAATTTAATTGATAAGATAAAAGGATAAGGCAGAAGTTGTTCTTACTGCTTACTAGGCCATCTCCCAGTAACATATTAGATCTAGTCGATGGATTGTTCAACTATTTTTTAAATAATTTTGTGTTAATAAAGCTTTATGAGTGTGATACCTTTAGATGTATGCGTGAAAACGAGATATCATCATTACGTGCTGTAGTGAATATTCCATGATGTGAATACTCCATGTTGTGAATACTCCATGTAGTGAATACATCCATGTCATGTTTGTTCATAAATAGTGGTACCTTTTCCCTTATGGAACTGAGCTAGAAGAGCATAAATCTAACGAGTACAGTACCTGAATCGACAGTACTGTATGTTTGAACACTCAATCACTCATCTTGTGAACTAAGTGTAAATTTATCTCCTCTTTTTGACAGGTTACTTAGTAACGCATGCAAGGTTTACTCGTCGATGTACACAGACACAGATTCACAGGCTCATATAACAGGAGATTCAGCAAATACGTCTGCATCAGTGTCGCCCCCCGACAAGAAAATGGCGACGGACAACGAGGAGTTGAAGAACGCATAGCTGTCAACAGGTCCATTGTGAAAATTGAAACTACTTCACACAGAATATGAAATTATATGCATATGTGACTTTGAGATGACAACACAAATCTGTGTATACATAAAGAAGGTGACCAAGTGGTTAAGGCGTCTGACATCCTGTTACCACTAGCCCGCCATGTATTGGCGGTAGGTCGGTGGTTTTTCTCCGGAAACTCGGGCTTTCCTCCACCACCAAAACCTGGCACGTCCTTAAAGGACCATAGCTGTTAATATGACGTAAAACACAAACAAACCAAACCAAACTAACGAAGTTATCAAACGAGTGATGATTGATTATATATCTCTTTTCTAATGGAAACATTTCCATGTACTTAGTAAAACCAATGAGATATACAATACCTAAGCTTGCTAATTGAATATTTCAATCAATTATAATCAGGCGTCTGGAGTTGGATAATTTGTTTTTAAAAGCAAATAAAGACAGTATGACGTCACGCCGCGTAAGCTTTATTCAAACTGTGAAATTATAAAAAAAATATATACCACGGACTAGAATGATCACAGTGGCTCCAATTCGATATGGACAAAATGTATTTTACTACGACATGTCATTGGTACCAGAATTTTAGACACGCAACTCTTTTATTTAACGCTACAATTTATGTCTTTATGTAGTGTTATGCAAACACTTAAATAAACGGTGGTGAAAATTGCTAATACAAGGTAAAGTATCATACTCCAGCTTAACAGCATCTTCTTATTAGTCAAATTTAACACTGAAAGTGATCTCATCTTTTGCTGTGATCAATTATTTCTTATAAAAAAGGGTTTAACATGCCAAGAACGAAATGCATGTCATTAGTCACACACATGTATCTGTGACTATTTCTTGTGTGATAAATCATACAGATGTTGTTAAAGTCATATCATTTAACGTGGAAAACTAAATAAAACATTTGGAACATGGGTTTGAAGCAAGTTTGTTTTGAAGTCCGAAATTCTAAATTTATTTTGTTGATGTTATACAATCAGGTCAGTATAGCAGACAATGATTCTCTCATATATACCCAATAAATAACAAATTATAATTCATTTGAGATGTAACAAGGCATTTGATTGGCCAATCAAAATAATTTGTGAAACCACGATATACCGTCCGCAATTTCTCATTTGCATATGAAGCCCGGATGGCGATTGCTAATGATGTCGTTGACCCCGACGACCCCGACTGACCCTGACACGTCATGGAATTGATTATTCATGACGTCACGAACAATAGCATGACCCGAAAGGTCAACGTAATTCCGCCTCAATTTGAATATTTCTGACGTCACCAATCCACAGCAGAGTGACCCGGAATTTGAAGAAAGCACTCAAACATATCTTAAAATCCTCGTTTCTTTCAGTGTTTTTGGTTGATATGAATTAGAATGGGGAAAACCCTACTGTATTTTGAAATGTGCGGCGTTATATCGTGATTATATTGTCGCAAATATCCGTTTTACCGGCTCCGTTCCGCGTCTCCCCGATAAACCACCGCAAATTTTGAAATACAGTAGGGTTATCCCCTAAATATACCTTATTTTGCCTGATTATTGGATTCTACATTACGTTATTAATTCTCTTTCCCTTGACAGGTGTATCCGCACTTTTACCGGTGTGAGATATCCTTGTCTCACCCTAGGGTTGAGACTAGGGATTCCTTGATTCATAACAATGGCATGACGTCACTTTAACAATACAATGAGGTCAAGTCGATAATCTATCAACGTCACGTCAACCATGAATTTAGCCTGTAAAGTTAACATTACATTGTGTATATGATACACAATGGGAGAACAGGGTAAGAGAAAAAGAATCATTCACCCCGAGGGGAAAGATTCTTAAGTTGCCAAACACTCGGCAAAGCCTCGTGTTTGGCAACTTAAGAATCTTACCCCGAGGGTTGAGATTCCCCTATCTCGCCCCAAAGGGGATGAGCGATTCTATTAATCTATCTTGCTTTACATGAATGATGCTTTCCTTCCATTAAAAAGTTTTTCCATATAATTTCACAAAATTGTACGGAGGGAGAAAGTGAGTGAGGAACTTGACTTCCCCTTAGAAGGAAGCTTCTTGCTGCCCTTACACTTCTAGCCTTTGGTCTTGAAGACTGGATGAGACTTATCCCAGCAGAAAGTTGCATGGGATAATGTGTAGTTTTTTTCCGCTGCATGCCAAGCACCCTCCGAAGAGATAGGACCACTGGACCCGTGTTTCTTTAAAATAAACACCCGAAGCCGCAAAGTACATTTGCACAGCAGGTAGAACACCACTGGAAATGACCATTGAAGGGGATCGTCAAAAAGGTGAGAACGGCACGGTTCACTCACCTGCATGCCACAAAGGAAAGAAAGAAACAAAGCAGTACAGTCATTAAGGAGAAATGAAGTGCAGCAGCTGTCCGTACTGCTGAGTTTAGGCCAGACGTTAGTATGTTCTGCATGTCTTGCCTCTCCTCTTTAGATACTCAATCTTCAGGCAGAGATCGGAGCCTGCACAAGGAGACGTTAAAAACAAAAGAAGAAAAAATGTGAAGGGAGAGGCGCAACATCCTCTCGAATTTGAGGTGTTCATTAGCCTCGAACATCACCTAGTCCATCATCTTTCCGGGCCAAGAAGAAGAATGGTCCCTGTCCTCGAGCTAAGATGAATGAGGGGCAATCTGCCTGTCGTGGATGGCGTAATACGATAATTTCAACTCCTATAAGTCCATAACCTGGAACTGCAGCTCGGGAAACCCTGGCGCGCGAGAATCAGAAGAATGCTTCTCCACTACACGCGCCTGACCGGCGACCACTGCAGGGGACACAATGGTGCCCTCGTACGGGTTCAAATCACTGCACAAATCAGGTTTATAAGGGACCACGGAGCTTAGAAAAATGGTCGCCTACGAGACTGATGACAACTAAGGAGGTGGGCCATCCTTCTTCCTGAGCATAAGGGTAACGTACGCACGAAGCAAATGAGTGTATCTATTGATAAGGGTATACTTGCAAGATACAATTTCGTAGAATCTTCTATGAAAACAAAGTCACCTTTTTCCTACACATAAGCAATGATTTCGCAGCCAGTGCCTGCAATTTCAAACACAAAATGGTGTGCTAGTTTTAACAACACCTTGAATAACAGAAACGTGAGCTACGTGCATGACAAGTTGGTACCGGTGGCCGACATTTCCAGGTCTGGCTCATAGATTATGTCGGAAATCACATCGATATCGCTACCCATGCGAACATTTCCCTCAAATGTTTCTCCATTGCATTGTGTAGAATGTGATTTCTGCATCTTGAGAAAGAGGTTAATAGTTGCATTACATGTATATGAAACACATGTTGCATTTATGTAAAGAATACTTTAAGCAGTGAAATGTCCATTTAATCCTGACAAAACGTGTGGGTATTCAATGGCTTTCAGTTTAGAGGGCAATGGGGTTTTGGCAGTGTGCTTCGGAAACGTCATTAACAATCATCCTTCGAAGAGCTGGTTGATGTTATTACAGCAAATAGTATAATAAGTACTATTAAATATACTATTTAAATCTTTCTCGACAATAGGCATTTAGAACCTTGATTTATTGCTATCGTTCGTTTCTGTAAATAAATATACTGTATGTGAAAGAACAGATGACAACATTATACTTACTTATTCTTTTGGCTTACAAAGAAAACATCGTATTTGTTTATTTATCATTAGGTTATGACATTTTGAATAAGCTCCATTGCTCTCTTAAAATGAAAACCTAACACCCACAAAGAATTTTCAGGATTATAATGACATTTTATTGTTTAAAAAAACACCCACTTGCATTATATAATGCAACTCAATTTCTTCCGATGATACAGAAATCATATTCCACACGAAACATTAAAGTAACGTTTGCGAAGTTTGAGGAAAATGGTCGCATGTATAGCAAAGTCAGAAGAACCGACATTTTACGTGAGTGCTTAAAACTTAGGATTGGTATAGCACAAAGAAAATTAGATTGTTATGTCACTTAAACATTCCGCAAACATGATTTGTTTAGAAGAAAATAAAAGTACTCTTATTTGCCTTGGTGATCTCCAACCCGTTTCGGTGTCGACACCCTTAAGCTTTATCTCTTAAAGCCGATACCCTACTTGTGAGGCAATACACGGTAGAGTGTGAACTAAAACAGGAATAAACAGCCAACGCCTCTTTATAAACTGGAACCGATTAAGCTTTTATAGTGGCTGTGTTGGCTATTGTTCGTTGATACAAAAATGAAAGTATTTACGAACAAATAAAATAAAATTTAACTGCATCTCATCAACGCACTTTTATTTTTCAAATCGTGTCGAGCTGGACCCGGTTTTAACGCTATTCGCTGAGTTAAACTTTGAATGTAGTTTTATTTTTTTCAAATCGCGTTGAAGCTTACCCATGTTTAAAATAATTTGATCATATTTTTCAAAATGCATATTTTTTTGAAAGTGCGTTATAACTTTGGGCTAGTTCTACTACAGGTACCTACAATACCCACATCAAGACATGCCAGACGTTTAGTGAGTCATGATGTCAGTGTTCCTTCGGACGTTTTTACTGTTGAACTATGCGTTGTGTACTTAGTGGATGGGAAACACCTTTAAATGAGATTTTGATAATTATTTGTATTACTTAAATAAATTATGTTTTTTTTTTTTTTTTTTTTTTTTATATCAAATTAACCATTTCAAAAAATATGTTTTTCTTTGCGTTTGAACATTTTATACGGATTTTTGCTTTAATTTTGAACTGGCCGGTATCCAGCGAGTGAGTTAAGATATCTATGATCATGATACATACGTGTATCCCTGAGGCACTCGAACTACACAGAACTCTGACTACACAGAAAATATGTGCATACTTCCTTGTCGAGAGCTGCAATGGTAAACACGTTAGTGTTCTGAATGTCAGGCAATATCACACATGATAATCATAAACGTGGTGGACCTGATGATGTAAGTTAACCTTCATTTCAGAAATAGGCATATATATGTACAGTAATTAACTAATCCAAACATTACTGAAATTTTATTGCGATTATGGACCATGGCAAATTATCTAGACATATTACTGTGTGATTGTCGTCCAAATATTCATTTTATTACAGAATCGGTTCGGAATATTTAATTGAATTAAGGAAATGAGTATTTTAACTTAACTGAGTTCTTAAGTTTTAAAACATGTTTTCGATCAGACGAATTAATACTGTATGCACTCATACAGAATGGAAAAAAGTACATGCATCAAATAGTTAAGTGGGAAACATACCACATTACAGGCAAAGAATCTTTTATTACCGGGGGGGGNTTATAGGCAACGAAACATTGTTACGGGGGAGGGGTGGTGAAGATAACTCTTTTAAAAGTAACTTATTAAATGACACAGACGAGTCCATATCTTCTGTTATGTGTCCATATCCTGGAAACGACATGAAATCTTATTTTAGTGTAAAACTCCTTTTATGCCGTATTTAAAACGGACTTAAATTCCGTGGTATTTAAGATTCATTTCGCTAAAACTTTGCTCATCTCACTCTCTATCTAAATCTTTTGTTACTATTTATTTCTTTATTTAGAAATCAATTTTCTTTGAATTTGTTTTGGGTTATTCTGCAATGTATTCTATTTTTGCACGCTATATATTTTCCGGAATAGTCCGTCTCCGCGTCTTGTATTTAAGTTTAGTATATGCTTCTCTTCATGATCTATCAAACACTTGGTCAACGTAAGAAGGAAGCTTACCAGCAGAAAGAAGTCTGAAAAAAATGGGAATGTTTTGTAAGACTTTAAAAGGTATATAGTTAACTTTGTCGATTTGAATTGGGAATCAAGGTGTGATATTTTGCATGAACAGTTAAAATGAAAATGAAGATGCGTAACAGGAAGCTACTCCTTAATAAAAAATATATGTGTAAGCTTAGTTACACATGAGTGCATTTCAGTCATGTCAACTCCGTGTTCAACCACACTAATATCGTATTAGGCACTGTTTCTGTGCTAAACCATTGCCTTTTCTGATCAATCTGAAACATGCATAACTATGTACCAAGGAGGCATACATATGGAATTTAATCTGTTAAATAGTTATCTAGCAATCTTTTTTTCCAATCAGTCTTAAAATAAAACATGCACAGCTTGAAGACCTAGTGAGATCTATCAATCAGATTATAGAAAGATCTGTCAGCTCACCTGTAACTTAAAATGTCAATATCCAATCCAATTTGCCCAAGACTTAAAACATCCACAACTAATATAAGTATCAAATAAATCTACATATGAAATTTGAGACAGATCTGTCATGTCCTGCTTTAGAATTAGAAAAAAACCCACTTGAATTACAAAACTGTCAAATGAATGATGGCTGCAGGTGACCATTTTGTTCCTCTGATCAATCTCAAAATTGAACAAGCAAAATTTGATCCCAAGGGGAATGTGCATAAAATTTGAGAATGATCTGTCTTGAACTTCTTCTGAAATAGTGAAGAATAATTTTAAGTATTGACTAGAGATGAACAGCCTTCCATCTGATTGTTAGTGGGCTAAAAATAAAGCAGAGCAGCTTGATACATTTACAACACATGTTCAGTACAGGATGTGATGAACAAACTAGATTGGCTTATACTAAAATAACACTGACTACATACATGTACCAAAAAAGTAAACCATTCTGCAATAACCAACACCAGTAATAATGTTGACGATTAATATTGCATGCACATCCCTACAGACGCATATATCTTGTTTGCATGCATTTGTATGTATGTCAGATAAACACTTTTTACTAAGAATGATGACTGGTTCCTGTATGTATACAAATAACTGTATGCATAATTATGTATAATTAAATGTTGACTAGTGAAGTGTTAGTAGTTGCATGTGTTTCTGATCTTATTTTATTTTTGATTTAAATCTTATTTCTTCACAGCAAGGATTCAAATAATAACATAAAGTAAAGATGAGACGAGGTAAACTTGGTGTTCGTGATGGTAATATGTGCATTTTGCATGCTTGTATAGTACATGTATATAATCCTGTGACTAACTAACAATTAGTAATTAGTATTACCAGGTAGTTTGTTTATTACATTTTTACCAGTATCTGAAACTATTAATTACATAAAAGTGTTATTTTTCACTGAAGTGAGGAATATCAAGGAAAGCTGATATTTACACTCATAATTTTTTTTTTTCCTTAAGTGGATACCTGTAAAAATGCTTTGTCTTTGCTTGTGATGATATGTACATGTCTAACGTCTAAACTGAGGAGCACTCCTCAAATGAAAACTGTTTTTGGTGTTTAGAAGTACACTTATTGCTTCAAACAGGGTCATTTTCCTTATTTTGAAATTGTAAAAATGTAATAAACAGAATATTTAATGCTTAATATTTGCAGCCAAATCCTGTCTATTATATCTACACATTGTACTCAATATAGTTTATACCATTTTGGTAAAGATCGAAACCTATTCAAAATTTTGAGCCTTTCTTCTGGTGGTCCATTAACTTATTTATAATTATTCACGCCTGAAATTTCATAATTAACAATTCCAACCTTTGAATTAGAAGAGTGCAAATTAAAATGTGTCTTCAGGGGTGAATGAGTTCATACGGATTTGACTGCAGAGGATATATAATTATATATGATGCTTTCTTTACCTATAGCCACGCACGTGCACATGTACAGTGCATGTATCACAATACTTCAGTATTTTACCTGTACTGCCACACTATGTAAAATATAAATGGTACATTGTACATATTCAAGGGCATGGGAAACCATTAGATGTGATCACATCCTCTATATATTAAGTTTGAGGTTTTATTTCATAATTCGTATATTAATAGCATGCATTAGTGAATTAGTAGTTATAACCCTTTCAACACCGTAGACCATAATGGACTCATCCAGATCAAAACAAGGGTGAGTTTACTAAAGTTACATAGGGGTGAAAGGGTTAAGTTATAATAAATTTAGTAATTAGCTCATTTGCATTGTGTATACAGGTGTGATGTAACACTATATATCATAAGAAATATGGGTTGTATTATCAATTTTCATCTTCAATTGTGAACATGTATTAAATTTCTTTGTATATATATACTTCTTATATGTTTTTGAGTGCCCAAGACCTTTAAGGGCACTGGCAGTATGGTTTCAACTGTAACAAAACCTAGTACAAAAAAGTAAAACAACATTTATTCTGAAATTTGGTAATCATCTGTAGCAGACATGCATATATATGTATAGCACCTTTATCCATTTTCTATCTCTTTATGACAACACAAAAGAAACTATCTTCATTCTTTCATATCCACAAAAACATTTGATCATAGTCTTGTAATGTTGGTTATACAGGTAACATGTACATTTTTACAGCTTAGTTTGCTCACAGGTTATCAATAAAGTACGGTAAATGGGTTCCCTACAAGAAAATCTAAGATTCTTCTGTATATTAAGTGTTTTTTTCAAAGCCTCCGCAGTAGGAGTCAAACTATAGTAAAAGGGTATGTTCCATCAAGTAAGAATATATCATTACCATCAGTGTTCTGCCCAGAATGTTTTGAAAGAAGCATGATATTTCAATATTTCTGTTAAAGCAGCACTCTATGTTGAATCAAAGCAGCATGGTAACTTTAGATTTACTATGAATATATAGCAGAGAAGATCTAGGATAGCAGCATGGCAAGAAATTATAGGAGCATGGCAAAAACAGCCTGGGGAGAACACTGACCATTCAATATTCATCATCTCCAAATAAATTATTTAATTGTTTCTTTTTTCATCGGAATATTTCATATAAACCATGTCTGTAAAGAATTCAAGTTGTTAAAATTTAAAATTTCAAAATAAAACACAAATAAAATCAAAAGCTTCAAAGGTTAACCCGGACCTTTATATGACCAGTCCCACACCTTACCAATGCTTCTGATGTCCAGGAATTATAAATATACATCAAAATGAAATCCTAACTTATGGCCAATGGGAAAAAACATAGAAAATTAAGAGGTGAATACCATAATATATTAATAAGTGAGGTCAGTGATCTAAGACAGAAAAACTCCTTTTGGTTGCTTCATCTTCTTTATATAAGGAAGAAATTGATTTAGTCAATAAAATATCTCTAAGTGGAACTCATTTCATTTTAACTGGTGCAGTGCTAGTGGTACTCTTTACCTTAATACTAGATATAGATGATACATGTAATGGGTTTGTGAGATTTTGAGTTGTTGGTATAGACACATAGAAATTGTGTTACTTGGGTTTTGTTAACTTGTACCGGTACGTAGCACTCACACTAAGTGTACAGTGTAACAGTCTACCTAATTCTACGAGGTTTAGTTGATGAAGAGAACTCTGGGAGGTACTGAATCATATACTTGATTCAAGTTTCTGATGTGGGAAAATCTTTTACAATTTGTTCAACCAGATGAAGGATTATGGTAGACCAACAATGTTATTGATAGCTATAGCTATTGGCCATGCTGAACTGTTAAGTTGACCACTGTATAATCAATTCAGCTATTGAATAATTATAAGGTCTTGTTTCATTTCTTCTCTTCAAAAGGCCAAGATGAACTGGTAACCTAACTTCACTGCTTACTCAGATCAAATTCCCACTCAATATCTGTGCTTTTCAGTCACCATATATGACCGCCATACAGTGGTAGAGGCATGTAATTTTATAAAACATGATCAATCCTTCCACACAAGTCAACATCACTGTACATGTGATGTCAGCACATCTGTTACATACGTTATCATTGAATGTGCTGGATTATTTATTAAATGCTATTTATTATATACATATGCTCGCTCTGAATGACAATATGTATACATATGCTTGCTCTGAATGACAATGATTTTTTTTAATCCAAGGGCCTTTGTCTGTTTATTCCTTACATTTAGGATAAACTGAGACATTGCTATTATGGTGTGTGTATATATATATATATAAAGATTGATCGTGAGGTGTCATATGGCTCAAGGTGATTTCTATGAAATTTTTGCCAGGGAAATATGGCGGAATATAAATTGATAAAACTGATTTCCATGTGTAAATTTACACCAAGAGGTTGGTAAAATATGTGGTTAATTTCATTGCTCAATGTAACTTTTATTGAATTTCATTTTTCAGTGGAATTATTTTCACCTGTACATGCGCTATAATTTGCACTCATGAAACTATCAGGTCAATCATTCTAATTACTCATGAAGTGACACATTTCCTTTGCTTTGTTCAATGTTGTAATTCTAAGAAGTGTAGATTTTTTAGTGATTGATGTTGTTTTAACTCAATTTTGTTTTGTGCATGCTTATATTTTATGTATTTTTATTTTTATTTTTAGCGACAAAGTTAAAGTTAGTTTCCAATACAGGAGCTGATAGAGCTCCTCTACACTTGACTCAACAATTCAACAACTCAACATGACAAGTTGTATTATCATGTTGAATAGAATATGTATATTACTCTGGTAAATTGTGCATGGTGTTTTGATAGTTGGTGTGTGTAGATGTTCACAACACACCTATTTATATATTCTGAAACTGGCATTGAATGATTTGTGTAAAAAAGTGGCAAAATCATGGCCCGGAATCTTGTTATCATTTGATTCAGACATGTCAAAAGTCCATGTAATCATTTCAAAGTCATATATAAGGGTCAATTGCATTGAAACCTTCTGAAGTGCTGTACATGTGAAGACCAGGTTTATAGATCAGATTGGAAAAAAATAATTAGTTGGTTGAAATCTCTAAGAAAAAGATTCATTGAGAGGTAGAGCAATAAAATCTACCATTAAAGATCAATAATGTGTCGTGTAATGATATCTAGCATATTCAGATAAGTCCGACCTTAAAATTATTTGAAGTTTGCGGATGTGATGTGAGTGATACAAGCCCATTTGACCTATTGTTTTTATCTTAATTTTGTCTTATCAAATAGAGTGGCAGAAATGATAATTGAATACAGTTACTTCAAAATACAATTCATTCAAAATATTTGTTCAAACTACCAATAATCAAAATTATTCACTTCCCAAAACAGTTTGTCCCGTTATTTATCATAATAAGATTCCTGATATATGCAGACTCAGAAGTACAAAAATGCGGAACAATAATTGAAGCACTTTCATAAATACTTAAAAGTGGTTCAAATCAACACATTTCACAACACTTTTCAGAACCAAAGTAATTATATTATTAACTGTAGTAAAAATAGACTGATTACAGAACCTAAGTAATTAACTATAGTAAAAATAGACTGATTACAGAACCTAAGTAATTAACTATAGTAAAAATAGACTGATTACAGAACCTAAGTAATTAACTATAGTAAAAATAGACTGATTACAGAACCTAAGTAATTAACTATAGTAAAAATAGACTGATCTGAACCATTCTGTTACAGTGATTACTTATTTAATGGTAAATCTCTAGTGACACCTTCCAAGATTTGCATGGACAATGCCTTCCAAAGGGAAATGAATTGTGTATAATTAGAAAACAGCTCTCTGGATTACTCTTAATTGAATCAAGTTTTTTGTTAACATATGTATTTCCTGTCTGGTCCTATTATGAGGACAGAAAAGTAAAAAACCTGTTTTAACTGTAGTAACATTTTCTAGTAAACAGTTAATATGATCTGAATTGAAAAATAACAATATTAAATTCCTGATCATTACTATCATTACAGGAGTTCTCACCAGCACCAAGTGTTTGATGGTGGGCCTTCTGGTGCTGGTCACTATCTTCATTATTCACCTGACCAGAATCAGAACTGAGACTGACCGGACCGAATCCGAGAGTATCTCCTTCATTGACAAGTATGGCTCCACACATGGCATCATGTCCAAGTTCTTCTCAAGTGTCAGAGACTATGGCAAGGCAAACATTGATCATAAAAAACCACCTCTTGGAACGAGTAGAACGGAATCGCAGTTAAAAAGTGCTAAAACACATGAGGAAGGCCTTGTAAAGATAAAGGAAAAAAAGCCCAAGGCTCAAGAGCTGGTTCATACCAGTCAAAATGTAACCAAGAAGGTTGGTTTTACTATAGCAACAAAACGTGCACCACCAAAACATTATATAACTATTGATTTCAAAGGGAGGCTGGGGAATCTGCTCTTCCAGTATGCATCCTTATTTGGAATTGCTGATAAAAACTACTTGATTCCAGTGATTTCTGAAAACAACGAACTACGGAGAATTTTCAAAATATCGTCACAATCCACAGAGAAGAATCGGGTCCATTACGGGAAAACATTTAATGAGAAAATTGGGTGTGCTTTTGAACCTGCAGCAATGAAACTTGGATCAGAAACAAATACGAAACTGAATGGCTACTTTCAAAGTTTCAAGTACTTTAAAGAGAGTGAAGCATCACTGCGTGGTCAATTCAGATTCAAGGATGACCTACAGAAGAAAGCAGTTTCTGTATTTTCTGAACTTGTTGCTGAAAAATCTAACACTAAAAATGGTCCTGTCACATATATTGCTGTTCATGTGCGCAGGGGAGACTTTGTAAACAATGAGCACATCAGTAAGTATGGCTATGTGTCCCCTGGGCCTGACTATCTTCAGAAGGGTATGGGCATGTTCAGGGCTAACTACAGTAACACAGTATTTGTGGTTGCATCTGATGATTTACCTTGGTGTAAAGAAAACATGAAGGGGAATGATGTAGTTTTCCTGAGTGCTGGGAACACACGTGATTTGGACTTCGCTGTGATGACACAGTGTAACCATATGCTGATGACCGTCGGCAGCTTTGGCTGGTGGACAGCATGGTTGATCAATGGAAAGACAATTTACTACACAGGCTATCCTCGTCCTGGGTCCCAGCTTGCTAAACAGATAGTACTAGAGGACTACAGACCTCCAGAATGGATTGGTTTGCCATAATTTCTGGGGTTTTTGTTCTTGCCTCCCTTGTACATTACTTAAGGCTTCACTAATCCAGCCACCATGCTTCCTCTACCCAAATCAAAGGAATCAGATTCATAAGATAAAGTTTAATGTAAATACTGTCAAACCTGCTAATGTATGCAACCACCTGCATTAAGAGACCACCTCTATTAAGAGACCACCTGTGTTAAGAGACCACTTTTTGGACTTCCCATAGGTGGTTGCTTCGTAAAGGTTTTACTGTATAAGAGTCATAATATAACTATATTTTACATGTCTGGTCCCTAATGTTCAAAATTGAAATCCATTCATTTCATATAAACCTGAGGAAAAAGATGGATAGATTAAGGAGCATATATATAAATTAGGATTGTCAAATGAAATCTCATTACATTTTTTTTTATTATATACAGTCATAATATATTTTGTAACATTCCTATATTATTATCTGCAAATGTTTGTACTTTTCCATTCACACCTACAATATGTGCATGTTGTATATTTCTACATCCATAGACGTTCACTTGGATGTCTCCAAATTATATCGGGTAAGCACTTATATATAATATTAGTGCCAGTGATTTGTGTGCACGACCATTCCAGACTGCTGATATAGATTTCCATGTAGCTAGTTAAGTGTCTTAGATGTCTCTGTATTTCTGTAATACATTCTGTATATACCAGTATATATTACTAATGGTAAAACCATGCATTCCACTTAATATCACTTGCAAAATAAAAACCTGAATAATTATCACAGTTTAAAGAGATGAGAAATCAAGAAATGTCTACAAATATGTGTTTATAGTTAGCTTTGGTTGTGACACAGTGAGAAATAAAAATGTGTTTGAAATGCAGAGCATGAGAACACAATAATCTATATTTTATTCAAATATGATGAGAATTCATCGGAAAATAAATAACATTATGATAAACACTCCAGTTAACGTTGCAATCAAGATTTTCATTGGTTCAAAACCTTTGGTGACAATATGCATAATATACATAATCATTGTAATGTTTTGATTGTGTAATTATAATCAGTCTAAGCTAATTCTAACATATTCATAACCTGAACAACTATAAGTAAAAAGAGGATTTAAAAGGAATTGAGAAATTCAAAACATTTCTGATAATAGTCCAGAATATGATTTTATGCCAATTTAATGAGAAGGGAGGTAACTCTTATAATTATTTTTGGAGCTGTCAACTCATTTACCCCTGAAATTTCATAATGAACTATACCAACCTTTGAATTGGAATAGTTCAATGTGTCTTCAGGGGTGAACGAGTTAAAGGATACATTTAAAGGATCCCCTTTCCACTACACTGTGGTATTCCGTATATATACAGTAACCTCACCTAAACTTCCGTTTGGATAAAACTGTAGCACAGTTCGACCACAGGGGTTCATTATAAATGTCTAATACACATATCCTATACTAAAATGGTTCACATACACAGCACACAGACATTTATAACGAACCCCTGTGGATTGGACTAGATGACAATTCTGTTGATCAGCTGCAGGTATATAAGCTCAATTGGTTAGCCACCATTGTTATGCCATGGTGCGGCGTCCATTGTCCGTCCGTCCATTTGTCCGGCATCAACTTTTTAGGTCACCTGAGACAAAGTCTCAAGTGACCTATTGCGATCGCCTTTTGTCCGTCGTCGTCCGTCGTGCGTCCGTAAACAATTTACATTTTCGACTTCTCCAAAACCCCTGAATAAATTTCAATGAAATTTTGCAGGGACCTTCCATGGACAAAGGTCAACAAAAATAGTTGCCGGTTTAGTCCTAAGCCCCCAGGGGCCTGAGGGGCGGGGCCAAAAAGGGTCAAATTGAC